GAAAGAGCTGTGAGTTGCTCAGCACATCCTAAATACTGCACTTGAAATATTACAAACCTAATGCGTTCAATTAGATACTTGTGCTGGACATTGCTCAACTAATCTATTGCGTCAAAAGCCCCTGAAGACTTATTACACAGGCTTTCTTTCATTTTGATTCTTTATATTGACCACTCAAGGCTGCTCACGTAAGATCCTATAAAATCTTTAATCGTGAACTTGAGTGGCACACATGGTTGAAAGAGGCGGGCAAAAAGACAATATCAATCTCCACCGGCCGACAACTGTTTGTCTAAAAGGGAACCCGTTATCTGACTTTTTCATCAGCACAGGAACGACAGCCTGCCTACAATGCGGCCATCGGTATATCTAGTATTTGACGAACGATCAGAAACAACAAGGTATGGAAGAGCTGTGAGGCATCCATAGCATCTAAACGACTACTGAGTTCAGAGAATTTTAACGAATTCTCTTTTCTCTATCTACCATTGTTCTAAAACACTGCTTGGATGTTCGGTTTTGTGTTGTCTCGAAAGCGAATCTTCAAATATCCCTATGTATATTTTATTTGAAAAGACATATTGAAGTATTTTCAATTTGCTTAGCTGTACATGCGGTTTAATAGTGATATTATAATAATATCTTTACAACAGCGTGTTGAAAAAAATTGATTTAATCATTGCATATGTTATTTTTCCAGCAGTTGTACTGTATTCATACTCATACATAACAAATTTTTCATTTCTTTTGCACGTTTTCCTCGCCTGCATATTAATGATTACATTTTAACATGGGCTTAAAATCTCGTTTACTCTTTTCCAAGGTGACTGGAAAAATGGAAAGCAGATGAGTAGGCAGAATCGAACTCGCCACTGTAGATTTTTTCTGTTATTATCATGTGCCGCATAGCTCCTTAGAGTAAAAAGACGATCAGACACTGTGGGAAGAAGCAAGCCACCAGAGGAGTGTTTACCAAAGTCACACACGTTGGCTTAAAGTTCTAATCGGTCGCATCTAAGGATAACTGCTGCCTCACTGGCAAGGAAGGCTCAGTTGTAGAGGTGAATAAATTCCCTAAGTAATAATAATAATTTATTCTCCAACAACAACAACAACAAGTAGGGCGATTGATCTGCATGACATGAATGTGGATCAGATAGTGATGAATGTAAAAATAATTGTATAAACCGGACAAACTTAATAGAAACTTTAAAACCAAAGACACAACTTCAGACTAGTATTCAGATTTGTGTTTCGATGACAGAAAGCCTGTGCTAGTTCTTTCCTGGTAAGCTTCTGAGATTGTCTAGTGTTCTCTTGGACGAGTAAATAGAAGTAACTGACAGCACCTCTTCGAGTTAAAGACTACAAGAGTTGCTGAAACGGTTTGAATACCTTCATTCAATTGATATTTTGTTCGTCTTCAGCTTATGTACTCACCTGCAACGTCCTTTAAGTGGTATTCGGTTAGTAGTAGTAGTGGTAGCATACCTTCAGTTCTGTTCAACGATTTCTCGCCAAGAGTGATTTGGGATTCAATTTGCTCCGAACTTTCACACTATGAAAATACTTATTATTAAAAATTTTGCCGTTTTGATGGACCTTATTCATCTGTGCTCTAGCAGTTCATCTTTTAATTCGATCAATCAGTCTGAGATCAGCACCGGACGCAGTCAGGTTTAGTGAATTTTCCAATGTCAGGTTTCTTTCTCCAGCTGAAGCAGAAGTAACTTATAAGAGGCGGCTTGCTTATATGCTCAAAACCTCGTTCTTAGCCCATTCTTTAGAGCTCATGGATATCGTTACTTTTTCAAGGAACAGCTTGATTATTACGGACATAATGAGGCTTAAGTCGTTTTCATAACTGGAATTCGGTTCCATTTCACAAGAATGTAATATCCACAAAGTCTGTTTTATTAAGCTTTGAAGTTTGTCTTCTTGAATATCCTCATTCCCACAGTCCTATTCGGTAACAGAAATGCACGTTCTTTGCCTATTTTTACAGGTGCAACTGTTAGCTGATCACCGACTTTACTTAGACAAATCTACGTAGTACAGGGTTTATTCCACATACTTCGGAGTTATCTTCGAACTTCTTCTTTACGAACTATTTCGTTATCCTCCTCACCTTTCTTAAGTCTGGTTTTTCATGTAGTCAATTATGATGGTCAGACGTGATTGTTTAGTTTAAATTTAGAGCTGGACTCATGATACTGCTATTGCTACTGCAATATCTGAAAGCTGCTTATCTGCTACTAGCTGATTATCTGTAAGTAGATACCTAACAATGATTAGCAGTTGAACAGCCTGAAAAATGAGCCGACTTTGTCGAACAGCATGCTATGGACGGTCAAAATGATGGTGGCTTGCGACACAGCCTATATGCAGCCTGTGTGAGTCTGGTGCATGCTTTCCAATATCCAATATCCAATATCTTTTTCAAGAGCTAGTGTAAACCAATTTGATTTCTTCGCGCTCGATTCTTGTTCTTATTTTACGGTTCCAGGTGTTCGGTGATGTCCAATGGATGGAGGTCTAGCCACTCGACTGTCTAATTCTAGTCAGTTGGCAGTTGGTTGTGAGTTTGTATGTCTCGGGATTTGAATGAAACGTTTGTTTCAGGGCAGTAGGGTTTCTGGATACTAGCAGCCGTCACATTACCAAACCGGAGATCAGTTAGTTGCAATGTGGAGAGTAATAAGGGTAATAAGGGTAAATTAAAATGATAATATGAGTAAAAATTTCAGAACTGAGTAATGTATAGATGAATTTAGTTTATTAATTGGTAGTGAAGATTGTGAGAGAAGACCGGAGTGTAAGCAAGGGAGAGGAATAGGCGAGTTAGGTTAATTAAGTGATCTGAGGAGATGGCAATGGTAACAACTAGCAGGTCTCAAGATATGCATCAGGCACAGCTTGTCCAAGAGGGAGATGATAGTCCGTATGTGAGTACGTGATTATCAAGTCTCTTCTTAAAGCAGTCCACTGAGGGGGCTGTAACTACCTCGGCTGGGAGAGCATTCCAAGTTGCGACGACTCGCAATGAGAAAAAGTGTGTACGAACCTGAGTGTTTGCTCTTTGATGTGCAATCTTTTGAGGATTGCCTCGAGGGGAGTGGTGGTGATGCATCGGTAAGATGCTCACATTGGGATGGTTCGGCGTGTTTAATATGGTGTACTCCATAATCAGGTCACCACTGATTCTCCTGTAGAACAGTGGGAATAATCCCAAGAGCTGGAGTCTATCGTCGTACGGTTTATTTTTCAACCCTATCACCCATTTGGTTGCTCGTCTCTGCACTCGATCCAAGAGATTAATGTCTCTTTTAAGCAGAGGGGGTGCGATGACGTTGTGAACCTCCAAGTGTGGGCGCGCGTACGTCTTAAAGGGGGTTAAAAATAATTTCGGGGTTATAGCACCAAGCTGTCTTCGCATAAAGTGAAGAGTCGCATTTGCCTTGGCTGCATCCCCTACATAGTTAGGACTGGTGTGGAGGCTTTCTGTGGTTATTAAACCAAGATCGCGCTCTGAGGAGACATTAGGGAGCGGACTTCCATTGAGAAAGTAGGTGGTTTGCGTCATATGAGGCAGGAAATGCATGACGTGGCACTTCGGTTGGTTGAGTTTTAAACCGTTTTTCACTGCCCATTCCTCAATGGATGTAAGGTCCTTTTGAAGCTCAGTCGAATCCTCTTCGCTTCTAGTGGATCTCCAGATCTTCGCATCGTCTGCGTAGATCAGTGCCAGTGAGCTAACTAAGCTTAGCAGGTCTTTAATGAACATCAGGAAGAGGAGTGGGCCTAGGATACTCCCCTGTGAAATTCCTGAAGTGGATACTCTCCAACTCGCGTGCACCCTGTTTACCTTGGTGCGAAACTTTCTATTCTCAAGGTAGTTTCTGAGCCAAGATACGAGTGGGTCAGTGAAGCCCATTTCCACAACCTTTTCGATTAGGCGTGCGTGGGGCACTGTGTCAAAGGCTTTTGCGAAGTCGAGAAATACTACGTGCACTGGTATTTTACGGTCCAAGCAGGATGTCCAACTGTCCCATGCGATGAGAAGATTAGATGCACACGACCTGCCTTTCCGAAACCCGTGTTGAGCTTCATGGAGTATTTTATTCTTATCCATGTACTCCCTCATTTGTTCGTCCACTAGCCCTTCCATAACCTTTTATAATATAGGTAGTAGTGCGACTGGTCTGTAACAGGCTGGGTCCTTTCTATCTCCTCCTTTGGAGAGAGAGTAGCTTGTTTCCATTCCGCTGGGAATTGGTGTGACTCCAGTGAATGCCTGAACAGGTTGCATAACGGTGAACAGAGGGCTTCAGCGCACTGTTGCAAGACTATGGGGCGGATGTTGTCACAACCTGGTGACTTACCTGGGCGTAAGGATTTTAGTTTCCTTAATACTAGGTCAGGAGTGATACGGATGTTCCCTAAGCCGTCAGCTGGCATTGGGTTTGCGTAATACTCTGAACATGTAGGCGCCTAGTTTTGTGATGCTACTGGTTGCATTTGTATCATCGCGTTCTGTTCTCAGCTGCTAAGAAACATGTGCATATAACAAAAAATGTTTTGTTTCAATCATTTAAACTATTAAATGAGTACACAAAAAAATTTCCTTAAGTACTGTGAGAAATGATAGAAAAGAAAGGTTCGGTCTCCAGAAAAATTTGTGTTAAGAAAACTCTGAATTATAGACACTGAGAAAAGTGATTTTAACTTTTATGTTATTGTATCCGTAAATTCAACTTAATTAGGTGTAAAAGAAACATTTACTCGTCAGTACATGATTTATTTAGCAACGGAAATGCCACTATTATTTTTGGAAAAAGCGCAGTGGATTTTCACATCACAAAATAATTAAGCCAGCAGTAGAGACATTCTTATACGACAGGTATAGGTGTCAAAGTCCTCCAAATATTTTACAAAGTGGATAAGCTTACAAAACCAGTCTCACTGCATGGTAAACAGTTAATTCTCAAATATTTAACTCCACTACGGATTTTCGAAGGCACGGGTTTTCATCACCTATGAAGTCAACAAAATATAAAAAGATCGCGGACAATAACTATCTATGTCACATTTTGTTTTTGCTCACTACTAACCTTTATCAATTTCATTCACTCCGAAGGCGGTGGTTTGGAGTCTTCATGTTTGGACGATGGTACGACTAGTAAAGATTCTGGGTTTATTTTTATTTCTGATTGTGAATTGTCAGCCGTCTGCTACTGAGGAAGAGAATCATGTATTTAGCGGCAAGTTTAAAGACCAAGATGTTAATGAGAATACACGCGCTGAAAATTTTGATACTCATCCTACTCATTCATCCTCAGTAATTACGGACAGTAGTTATATAAACAATCCAAAAGGCAATAAGCCTACTAATCTTGGTCCGTCACGTTCAAATGATGCGGCGGCAAAGAGTCTTGACTCATCGTCGTTAAACGGAGAAAGCAATCAGTACTCACATAAGTTATCGAGGAGTAGTGAACCACAGCAGGTTAATATGAGGATTGTTGATCAGGAGTTGGTCAGTGATGTGGCAAAGCATGATCGTAAGCATAATATTGATACTGACGAACTACGTGGTTCTAATCATGACCCTTCAGATGTCAATCAGAAATATGACCAGTCAGGTTTGAGTCGTGGTGTGCGTGCAGATATACATGAAAAATCAATTCACAATACCCAGCACATACCACCGACACCTAGTTTTCCACATCCGGGCATGGCTAATGGACACCAGCCAAGTCGAAGTGGTCAGTCGCATGATTCTAATTTCAAGGATAGTGCGGTAGGCAACCGCTTGCCTCAAGGACATGTAACAGGTGTTAATCAGCCACCACCAAAATATTTCCATGATAAATCTGGACATGTGGAGTCTGACCGCGGTCCTGAGGTGTCTGAACGCCCTCACTTTCATGATAGCAGGGACTCTCCGTTTAGATATCCTAGTGATAATATTGGATCAAGTTCTCAGTGGGAAGCTGGTGAACAAATTAGCCCTCATGATCGCCCCCAAAAGCCACGGAGAAATATTTTACCGGAGTACCAATTGGATGAAACTTTCTCTCTACCATCACGTGAAGATCCAACGCAAAATCATGCTGACTTTGTTTCTCTGGTCGTAATCGTACCCCCTGGAGTGAAGCATTGCTACTTCTATAAACCGATTACGAACTTTGAGGTCGAATATCAAGTAAGTATCAGTTCTAGTTGGTTACTTTACAGGTTCTTAAAGGAGGTCACTTAGATATCGGTATATTTATTCGGGATCCCGAAGGAGAACCAATTGCTGTCCGCCCACCGCTATCAGACTCTCAGGTTTCGTAAGTTTATTATTACAGTTTTGGATTGCAAATAAGCTGATGAAATTTCTGTATATATACACATACATAGATACTTATCTTATGAAGTGCACCAATAACCACTCAAAGCCAGTTTTACTGTCTTATATTCATGCAAACAAGACTGCATACTCTGGTAAACCAATTTCCACTTCTGTTGATTTTATGCGATATACTTACAAGCCACTCGTGCAGTTATAAGCGATAGGTCTCTATAGTGCATCTGTAGCTAGATCAGCTAAACAGTAACTCAATTTTATCATATTGGTCAGTATTTGATTTGTAATAAAATATGGGTGTTGCATTCGATTTTCGTTTTAGGCATTACTTATTGACCTTGTACTATATTCGACAATCAGTGTATGCCTGCTAGAAATATTAGGCCCGACTCACCAGTCGAGTAAAATTAAGTATTTGAAGTATACTGTTCCGTTTTCCTCTCACCCATTGCTAGTTACTCTATCTCAGTCTAATGGATTCAACACTTTCAATAAAGGTCTTATTTTTTTGGTCTTGGTTGAACAAACCAGTTGGATGTAAACCAGCGTTAAAAAAGTTGTACCTTGTTCCTTTTTTAAGTAATGCAGCTTTGCCATCTGAGGCATATGGAGAACTTCATTAGTCAGTTGTACATCATTTCAAAGAAGCCCTTTAGATAGGACATAATTCACAGAAATCTGAAGGAGGTAAGCTCTGGCAATATATTTACGAGAGAATGAAAACGTATAAAAGGAGAAAACATTGACAGACCATTATATATTCAGACTTTTAGTTTAAGGACAAAATGTCGAAATTATTTTTCAAACCTTATACATCTCTGCATCAAGCAGCATGTGAAACTGAATCTCATAAAAAATTAACAACACAGAACTAAGTCAATGCGAGTGACAGTTTGCTACAAGACTTAATGCGACCAGTTGTTTGCCTGAACAGTTCTCAGTACATGAGATCAACTTGTTCAAAATCGAATCCTCCACCTCCGACTAACTTTTCTTACGTCCACTAACAATTTTCACGCATACATTTATCACCTCATGCCGCTAATGTCAATGATTCAACTTGACGAAATGTTATTCCCTGTCTACTGAAACCACGCTCTAAACTTCTTGTTGGAGATTTTAATGTTCAAAGCTTGTGCCAAATAAGACAACAGGATTTCTTAGAGTTACACATGCACGTAAACACTTCAATTGATACGCTTGAACTATTATGAGTTTACCTTAGTCGGAAAAGCTTGTGCCAAATAAGACAACAGGCTTTCTCAGTTAGGACTCAAGATTTTATGTAATGAAGTTGTTTGAGTCGGAAATAAAACTAATTAGCGGTCTTGCAATTCGAATCCCCCTTTTTATCTTTATCTCATACCGAATATCACAATATGCTATATTTTTCATTCTTTATGATTCGTCTCAGCCTCAGGGATCGTAGTATCCTGTCACTACTATTATAATAATTTCAACCCGTTCGTTTTTCTTACTGACTTCCTGTCGTTGTATTGGTGTTAGGTAGAAAATTTCAGCCCAAAATATCAATATAACGCTCTTCAGTTTTAGGATTTTAATCGACAACCTGGACATAAACAGATTAATGTTTCGATTGTCAAAGGTAAACCGGTTGAGGAATGACAGAATCACGTTAATTAAACGTATCACCAACAAGAATGACTTAAGACTTTACTTACAATAAAGCGCTTTTAATCGTTTACAATCTTACTCATGAATTTCTGGCGAGTCTGCTTTCGGTAGACTTTTTGTGTGCATATTATTTTTTAACAAATTTTTTTTTCAGAATATCTGTTCCGAAATACTTCCGTCTTATGCCATATGCAATTTGTCTGGACAATAGAAAAGCTAGTTATGCGTATAAAAATGTTTATTTTTCTGTCGATGTAAATTTAAACTGGGACAACCCTAGTGAACTAGAACGACAGGCAATAGAAACGTTACGTAACAATGCTCTAGTGAATTCACAGGCTCAAGCGGCAAATGCTGAGCATGAGGAAAATATTGTCAAGCTTATGGTCAGTTGCTTTCGTGAACTAAACATTTTTCGTTTTCTTGCATCATCGGTCAAATTCTAACTACGTTTTGTGTTTAGCTAATGCAGTATTCATAACCTATAACAACCAACTTTAGTTCCTACAAGAAACCGAAAGCATCAGATGGAAATCACTGGCTTTTAGTGCAGGGATTCCACACAGATCTTATTTTCCTGCGAAAACTTAACTCAATGAAGCACAAGATAGAAAACGATAATAATTATGGAAACATGGAAATCAAAAATTGTGGTAGAAACATGGGAAAGTGGTAAAAGATACAGTTAAGATGGAAACAAAGCAAACACGATCAACACTAACGTGAATTTCATTTGATGCATGATAACTTCCCAGTCTAACTTTCGTTACATGATTAATTTTTTCCTTGACGTTCATACTTAGGTCTACTATTAGTAATACTTCAGTTATGGAACCTCGTTACATCGTGTAGTAAGAATCAGTAGTTGGTTTTTTGTATGTTTGGTGTGTGTACTTCACAGTTGGTAGCTGGGACATATGTGTAAGCATTAGAAAACTAAATTACATACCAAAATCAAAGGTAACCAGCGTCTAATGGTATCGTATTTATAGACAATGGTGACATTTGTGAATGAATTGAAGTTAGCCCTTTTTATTGTATTTTTATGCATTTTTGGTGTTGTACTTTCATGTACTAGTATCGTTATATATAATTATATATATATATATATATATATATATATATATATATATATATATATATATATATATATACTCAAGTAGTTGTAAAAATCGCTTGTTTCTTTTAAAAGGCACAATTAGATATAATATTTGGCCGTTTACGACGCATCGAGCACATGCAACAACGCTCTAGTAATTTCGACTCTGCGGACAAATCATTAATGGAAGGAAACTTGGAGCGTATTACAACCGGTTCATTGTTCCAAGTTGCTCTTATGATTGCTGTAGCAACTATTCAAGTTGGTCTTATTCGTTCTTTATTTGACCAAAGAAGTTATCTATATAAAATCTGGACTGGAAACGGGTTTCAAAACTTAAATACTCGTTGTTAATCTTGTATTGATTCAATAAAATATTCTAGTCTATATTTGCCTTCAATGTGGTTTCCTTAACATCGAGCTTTATTTATGCATTTCTTTTGTTTTGTACATTTGTACACAGTTTACTTTAAATAATTTATTTCGCTACATATGCTATGTTCTTTCATTTAAACCATGTTTTCTATGTTGTTGATTGACATGTACTTCGTTTAATAGTCTGTATCTTTTTCATCCGCTATTTTGAAATACAATTTCTTCATAATAAAGATTGTGCTCATTTGTCTTTAATTTTGTTTTCTCTACTTGTTGTGTTCTGTTTTTGGTCGCTTAATACTGTCTACGTAAAATGAAATCATCCTTGTTGTAGGTAGAAAGTGATACGAATAAACCACTGATTGATCTTAATAATTCTTGTGTTTTGCGAATAGATATTTGATTTCAAACCTTAGCATATATGTGACAATTGTGTCTACATTAATTTCATGAGGATTCTGGAATGGAAGTAGAGTATTTTAGGTTGAATTTCCTCCCTAAAATTAGTAAATGGTTCTGGGTTTTTCTATTTCTCGCCGTCAGAGTAGATAATAAATTCTTAATGGATGGTCAAAAGCACCGTCATATTATCGCTTTAGTCATAATCTTAGTTTTTAATAGAAAAATGTTTGATTAATTTTGTAAGAGATTTGCATCTAATTTTGTATTTGGCTTGACGCGAAATGCAGGTTTGTTTGCTTCCGTAAGTTTTGGAATTTTGCATAAAAATTATGTAAATATATGATCAGTGTGCAAATAAATGCACTTTCTGTGGACCCAAGATGTAAGAAATTCTATGTAAAACAAGCATACATTTCAATTGAAAAAAATTTATTCATATCGAACTAGGATATGACATTTTAAGTGATGTGCTATGGGGTCACGTGATTGTCAGTTTTGAATGAAATGTGATTGAATGTTAACAAATGTCTCATTATCCATATCATGAGGAAATTCCCATATTAGAAATTACTCAACCGACCAATGAGTTTATGTGATCTATCAAGTCGTTTGTATAAAAAGGTATACTTGATATTAAATTTGTTGTGATATTTACTTTAATAAAAAATTATTGTCCTGCCTACACATAGATGGGTCAAACTACAGAAGTTACCGGTAATGATGACGAACTGTGGAAAACAGCATCAGAAGCAGGAGAAAAGTTCAGTGCTTTGTACTATCGTGCTTTTGACAAGCCGAACAGACCTGATTTGCCTGGATTTCTTATGGATAATGTTGTTCTTCTATGGAATGGGAATCGTGTGGAAGGTCAGCAACCAGTGATTGACTTCTTTTCTAAGCTTCCAGACAGTACTTGTACCTTACACTCATTATCCTGTCAACCAGTACATAGTAAGATCATTTGATGCATTGGTATTTATTTCCAATTTTTTAGTATATACATAACAAAGTTTTTGTTTACCATATTTGGTTATTAAAATTTTGGATTTCGTTTGTTCAGTTTTTAAACGATTCGTTGATTTTTTAGATCCGAGATTAACCATAACGTGCAAACATAAATAACGTTAAACAGTAAGAGAGAAGTAATAATAAGGAATACAAAATAATGAGAACCATAATTTGGACTTTTAAAGTAAACCAAAAATAAAGTAACCCAAAGAAACTATTTTTTTGAAGACAGAACAGTATGGAATATTACTTAATGTGACCGTAGAAAGGTAAATAAAGGGTTTATTTTGTTTTTCGATAAATAATACGTAATATCGAATTACCAGCAGGATCTAGGATAGCTCGCAACCATTAGAAGATATTTGGATTTATTCCATAGTTGATTGATTTAGTGTAAACCAACTAAATTAAATCTTTCAGGTGAACAGTCCATGCTTTCGCTTATGATATTTATTTTCAAAGCCAGTCTTAAAATAAATATTTACTTTGTTTAGCGCATAAGTTGTCATATCGTTACCACAAATTATCCAGCACGTCCGGTTTCATGATCAGCTGAAGTGATGCAAGTTGATGAATTTCGTCCACTCCTCTTGTCTAACACCATGTATTCAATGATACCTGATCTTCTTATTTCCTCTAGCATATTTGTTGTTAACCCCTGATAGTTAATAATTATAGTTTTTTCTGTTTTTCATCTTTAGAAAGTCTAAGTGGTGACCGATTATTGGTTTTGGTAAATGTGTTTGGTACCATAAAATTTGAACAACACCCTACCCATATTTTCTCTGAAACATTTTTCCTGACACAAGAATCAAATTTGTGGCGAGTACAGTCAGTCACATTTCGGTTCATCGACTAATCCTTGTAACTTTGATTCTAAAAACCAATTTTTTACAGTTTTTTTTGTTTTGGATAAAAATCATTGTACTGCTCTCGTATTTTTTCAAGATTGTTATTTTTAAATGTAGTGCTTTAATTATCCAAGAGTTTCACAGTGATTGTCTATCAGCAGAATTTACGGGAGGGGAATTTGAAACGTAAACTATCCTCCATTGTACTAGTTTTATCACTATCATGTGTACATATTTTATTGGCGATGTACTATTGTGTTAAAATCAATGTAATAATGCAGAAATGTCTAATCAAGGACGGTCTATATATCCCAATAAATAAGTGTATATTTGATAAGATTTAATTTCTTAAGATTTTAAACAATCCAGGTAAATCCTATCTCGAATTTCAAATACTTTGTTGTAAATTTGTTTGTACATATATACTACAATATTGGATTTTTGAGTTTTAATTTTGCTATTAGTACTGATTGCTCAAGTAAGCATGTTTGATTAAGTTCACATGTAACCATTAGATTACTTAGTTTCACTGTCTACCAAATAAAGAAGTATATAGTGTTGTTTTGTTTTCAGTTTGGAGCACATCAATGAGTTTCTTCTTTGCCTTGTAGATCGATAATCGTTCATATTAAGTGTTTTGTCTACTTTGAATTTTCAATTCAGTTTTGCTTATACAACTGATATATCCCATCAGTTTTAAGTAGCAAATTCACCTATTCGTTAGTTAATTGGCAATCGGTGCCACCAAATAAATTGATACGGTAACAACAAATAGTTGATCTTCCAAAGTACCTTATGTCGTAGTTGCTAAACTATCAGAAGCCAACATCTAACTGGTGATTGAGAATTATTATTCAGAAAACATATAGTTTAAAACGAATGGTCTCTTCAAAACTTTTGTGAGATGAAGTAAGAAAAGCAAGAGGTTCCAAAAATCAACACATGTCTATGCTGTTATCAATCTGACTAACACGTGTTTAGAAACTTAGATGAACCACAGTATAAAATATACTACGAACAAGGATCAGTAAAAAATGTAAGATTTCATTTTGGGGTCTTGTACAAACTAACAATTATGGCACGATTACTCATGTCTACTATTTAAGGAAGCTAGATGTCATCGAGATTTCAAAGATTAGTTAATTATAAATATTACTCCCTTCCAGTAAACCGTAGTCACAAGTTGAATAAGCAGTATAGATTATAAGTGGAATAAACAAAAATTTATTGCTTTAAAAATAACAACAGAGAAGTAAATCTTATAATAGGAAAAAACAATTATAGTTGTTAATACTTTTTTAATAAAAAGGAGAAATGCTTATTCTGTAGAAAAGAGATAGAAGAAGTCTGAATGAAATAACAAAATGTGATCATAAACAAGTCGTATTTATAAATAAAGGTACAATACTTTGATGCTTTGTACAGAATGGCATATATAATAGTTATCTCTAAAAAATAAGCTACCACCGCAAAAATGCAATTATTTTATTTCGAAGTATTATCCCTTGACAGACGTGTTCTTTTTTTATCTGTTAAAGGGCTGTTAACTGCTAAGCGTTTACGACTACCGAAACTATGGTTGTTGCTGCTCAAACTTGTTGTCACGGCACTATTATTATTTGTATTATTAGAAGTATCCATTGCATTGCTTAGTACATTGTTTTCATCATTTGGACCAGACAGTGCATTATTTTCTTTGGCTGCTAATTCAGCTTTAAGTTTGCGTTTTAGTGTTACTTTAAGAGGCTCTAAGCGTCTGGGCTCTAGTTTTTGATCACTATCATCATTAGAGTTAATAACTGCTGTGGATGTAGTAGTAGGAGTGGCAAGTGTAGAAGCGGTAATATCATTAAATATGGTAGAAATTTTTGAATCACTGGCATCAGGTGTCTTTGGGATCATATTTTCAACTTCTCTCTCTTCTTCGTTGATGAAACATGTCAGTAGGTTGTTTTCCTCACCATTTTGTTGTTGTTTAGCTTCACTTGACAATTTATCTGAATTTTTACTAACTGCACCTTTTTTAGTGGGAATATTTGAATCAGAACATAGTACCGGTCGGTAATCTGGTCCATATATCTTTAAACCGAAATGATCTGAACATATCCATCGAACACTGAATACTATGGAAGAATTAGTGATGTTATTCAAACTAGATTTAGCTAATTTCCAACGATCACTATCCAAACTATCAACTTGTATGCAATTAGGATTAGCATGTTCTTCACAGTATGAATTAGGACATCTCCAACATAAATGATTTGAAGGACGACCACATAAATCACAATAATGCCATGGACAATACCATATACCCGATGGCGGTGCAGAGAGACCAAGACAATTTAAATGATACGATTTAGAGCAAGTTGATTTGTCGCATAGTATCAATTCACCACCGTCTCCACATCTATATGTAATAGAAAAGAATCAGTTTAGCGAATACTACATAAGAAAAATATAAGCAGATAATAGCTAATTAGACAAAGAATTCACTTTTGCTTCCATTGACATTTTAGGGAATTCAATTTACAACGAGTCAATTTTGGTCATTCAGTATCTGAAAGTGAACAAACTTTTAACTAATCAGCAAATAGGATCATCTTTACTACGTATATCTAGCCGTCAGATTGACAGTTGGGATTCGACAAAACTACTGGAATGGAAGAGGTCAACAAATAGATAATTGAGCCCCAAACCCAAGACAAATACACATCCGAAGGACTACCCAACTAGCCGAGTATATTAATAATGTATCAAGAAACCAAAGCTATCTTATCTGTATTCAAAATATTCAAACAAATTAGTAAGAGTATGAGTGACTAGTCAATTACGTAGATAATAATCTAAGGTGAAAAAGTGAACAATAATGAATTCATTCCGGTGCATTATCATTTATATTAAATGTCGTCATCATATGGATTTTGAAATGAGAAATGGGTATAGGATAGAATCAATATTTAGATGAACGGTCTTTATAACATCAAGGAGTAACACATGAACGCCTTACTTGTCGCTTGATTTTACATGTTCTAGATTCTGACAGATGATAATATACCACAAACAGTTGTTTAGCCTGCTCTTATTTCCGAATGAATTCATAGCTGCATATGAATTTATGCTGCTGGACACCTTAAGGAATTATTTTCCTGCATGATGGGAGACCGACCTAAGTTCCCCGACTCTTTATGAAGTTGGTGGTTCAGTTTTAGCAGCTGGATTGACCGACATGTTAGGTAGAATCTGGGAACTGGACGTAATCCTATCCGGGTGGTCTCAATCACTGATTGTCGCAATCTATAAGAAAGGACAAAAGTCTTCTTGTGACAATCACGGGGGAATAAGTTTAACTAATATAGGTTCTAAATTGTTAGCCTAACTAAAGCTCGTGAAAAGCAGAGTAGAAAAAACCAGTCTGGTTTTCGACCTGGACGCGGTTGTATAGACCACATCTTCACACTACGACAGGTCCTGGAACACAGACACACATTCAGGCGTCCTACAATAGTTGTCTTCCTGGACCTAAGGGCGGCATTTGACTCAGTGGATCGATAGGTTCTGTGGCAGTGTCTGTCACTGAAAGGTGTGCCAAAGAGGTATATTAACCGTATACAAGCTCTTTACTCGAACACCACTAGTCGAATGAGAGCCTATGGCGAACTGTCATCAGAATTCTTTACTTCAAGTGGTGTTCTTCAGGGATGTCCACTTTCCCCATTCTTGTTTAACTTTGTCATGCTTCTAGATATAACATTATCTTCATCCGAACCTTCAGGAGTGGACCTTCTACCAGGAGATTCGCTTGTCGACTTAGAATATGCCGATGACATAGTTCTATTTGATGAAGATGCTGACAAAATACAGTCTTCTGACCACCCTACGCAATAATGCAAAATGTTGCTTCAAGATTGGGTCGCATCGGCACCTGCACTAGTGATAGGGAGTGAAGTAGTCGAACGTGTAGACCGCTTCACTTATCTCGGGAGTCTCATCAGTGCTGATGGCCTAGTGACTGACGAAATCTCATCATAGATACACAAGGCTCGATTAGCTTTCGCCAACCTACCTCACTTATGGCGTAAGCGAAATATCCGTTTGCTGACTAAAGGACGAGTGTACTGTGTAGTAGTTCGCTCGGTCCTACTTTACGGTTGTGAAACATGGCCAGTGAGAGTAGAAGATATGCGTAGGTTACTGGTTTTCGATCACAGGTGTCTCCAAAGCATTGTTCGTATATCGTGGGACAACCGAGTGAGCAACGCTGTTATTAGGAAACGGGTGCTAGGTAAGGATGGCAGATCGATAGGTGAAATATTGAAGCTTCATCAGTTGAGGTGGTCGGGACATGTGTTGTGTATGCCTAACCACCGACTGCCTGGTCGAGCTATATTTTGGGGTGTAGGAGTAGGTTGGACGAAAGCTAGGGGCGACCAGAACAAAAGATGGCACAAATCCGTGAAGTCACTGACAAGTGGACTGAGTCATGTTGGTAGATGTAGGGTACATGGTTGTGGTCCGCGAGATGTTAGTAATCGATGGTTAGAGACCGTATGCAATGGCGCAGGTGCATTTATTTTTTGTGTTCTCTTAAATCCTAAACTTTTCTATTCTTCCTCACTTTATCCTTATCCTTTTAAGTCTATTTCACTAAATTCTACTTCTTGAATAATATCTTCTAATCCTAACCTCTCTGACTACCTCTACTACTATTGGATTTGAACTGACAATTACATCTCTGTGGTAATGTGGTACAGCATCATGAACTGATGTACGTACGTACGAAGTTCTACGTTGCTATGGCTTGATTGATTGATTTCTGCATCATGTATTTTCTATAAAAAGCAACTATAAAAAAGTTCCCATCGGTTACATCACGTCATACTTTTGGACAATTGTTTCGTCCTAGTTTGGGATGTAAGTCAACCAATGGTCACTAATCCCCACATTACTGGCAGTCAATTACAACGAAGAGCTTGGTACGTACGTACATAAGTCTTACTACACAACATTAGCACAGAGATGCCACCATCGATTGAAATCCCACAGTAACAAAGATAGCGGAAGTATTAGCGGTAATATAGAAAAGAGATTATTCAAGAAGTGTAATTCAGTAAAATAATTTTAGAAAGAGAAAGATAGAGATGATGAGTAATTCAGAAGATTAGAATTTGAGAGAATACAATGAATGTATGCACCTGCGCCATTGCAAACACTTTGAGCCATGTCGTCCAATGTCTCCAACAATCGGTCACAATTGTCTTGCGGACTCCAACCAGTTAATTTACATCTACTAACATGGCCCACTCCATTTGTCAGTGACTTCGTCGAGGCAGTCGGTGGTTAGACATACACAACACATGTCCTGACCACCTCAAGTGATAAAGTTTCCATACTTTATCTACTGAGCCACCCTTACATGGCACCCATTTCCTAACGAGAGCAATGCTTACTCGGTTGTCCCACCATACACGAGAAATGCTACGAAGACATCTATAATCGAATACTAATAACCCACAAATATCCCCTACTCTGACTGGCCATATTTCGCAGCCATAAAGTAGAACGGAGTGAACTGCTGCGCAGTACACTTTTCCTTTGGTCAGCAAACGGATATTTCGCCTACGCCATAATTGAGGCAGGTTGGCAAAAACCGATTGAACCTTCTGTATCCGTGATGAGATTTCGTCAGTCACCAGTACATCAGGGCTGATGAGACTCCCGAGATAAGTGGGGCAGTCAACATGCACAACTACTTTACTCCCTATTACTAGTTCAGATGCCAACGCAAGTCAATCTTGAAGCAATAGTTTGCATTTTGAGGGGGAGAACCGCATCCCGAACATGCCTGCATTGTTCCCTAAGGTGGTCATAAGACTGCATTTTTTCAGTGTCTTCACCAAATAAAACTATGTCATCGGCATATTCTAAGTCGACAAGCGAATCTCCTGGTAGAAGGTCGACTCCTGGAAAGTCGGATGAGGATAATGTTATATCTAGCAACATGTCTATGACAAAATTAAACAAGAATGGAGAAAGTGGACATCCCTGACGGACACCACTTGAAGTAAAGAATTCAGATGACAGTTCGCCACGAGCTCTCATTTGATCACACATTAGTGGCAATAACAGTGCTCATATACGCATTAGTGACTAACGTTGAAACGATCTAATGAGAAGTTATGAATAGTGGGGTTCAACGATATCGAGTATGAGGGTTATCTGAGGCTGGTAATGAAATATAATCCTAGAATGTTACTAATCGACATTATTTCATCGAATGCTGGTTCAGTGGTCTAGACTCTAAGTGCTCACTACGAGACCGAAGTTCGTGGATTTAATCTCTTGCACTACTGAGGAGTCTCATTCTGAGAAGATAAAGCCATTTGATGCTCCCCGGTTTTAAGTGGTCGCTTAACTGCAATCAGCCCGTCCAGTAAACCACAAACGCACAACAATCTCAATAGATCCTCTACACTAGTAGAAAATTAGTAGTTCATGCATCAAATCGATTAAACCTACATATCCTATCCTTTACAAAATTTTACCTTGTGTTATCCATATTTATGCTTATTTCTCAAATATGTATGTTTTATATGGGAACTATGCACTCATCATTATTCTCAACATAAAAGTTACTAATTTAATCACAAAATAGATCTTCAATTAGAATTCGGTAATTGTATGCTGCCAGTTATTTCCATGCAGTTTTATAGTTCTCCAATCTATAACGCTAACTCATGATCAAAATTATTTTGTCTGTGTAAAATGTCTTGGAAAAAACAGACTGAACAGAACATTGACTTACCTATAGCAAAAATCTTCATGGAGAGCGGGATTAAAACCAACTAAATTCGATTCAACACTATCTTCCACTTTTGTTTGCGTCGAATGATTTTTGTCTGAATTTGTTCTATTTAAAGAAATCGATGATGATGCAGCACGTGCAGCAATGGTTGCTGGACTAATAAGTGGAACACGATCACGTTGAGTGGTAAGTTGTGAAACGGCAGCAGCTAAAAGGGAAGTTACTGAGGGTGTTGCAGCTTCGCAACTTTTCACAGGGGTTGGTGATTTTGAATGAGATATGTTGTTTGTAGTTGATCCTTCCAAAGGAAGTGTTGATTCGTCTAGTTTTTTAGATTTTCTTTTCTCCATAACACGTGAATTTTGAAAATTTTCATTTACTGTTCCCTCATATAGTTTAAATGCGGTAGGTAAGCGTAATGTACTTATACAAGAATCAGCTCCACATAAACACAAACAACTGGCAGCCATAAGATCCGTTGAAAGAATTTGGGCATTAATATAATTGATTGTTAGTTCTTCATTGGCTTCTATAGGTCGACAGGCAAACAGTCCTATCAAAAACAAAATGAAATGTTTTAAAAATGTTTATTTGACAAACTGGAAAATAATCAACAAACAGAACATAAACTTACCGAGTCGTGGATAACCGTCAACTGTCCAACATTCAGCAATTAAATTTGGTTCACATGAATGATTAATAAATCGACTTAGATTGCCTTTAGTTCCAGCATCTAAGACTAAATTCAACTGTGGACTAAATCGTGCTAGATAGGTTACCGACAGTGGGTGGAAACCTTTACGTGATGAAGTTATGCTAGACAATGCATCAGGACCAAGTGCCTCAATAATCCGACGGTTAGCTTCTGCAATATCTATCACCTCACCTAGATATTCTATGACTAAATCACCCTGCAAAAGAAACAGATAGAACAGTCAGTATTATTAAATGATGGTAAATTAAAAGGCAAAATAATTAAGAGAGACTCATTCACAGGGTTACACATACCACACTGTTACAGTCGGTTGGTAATTCAGTATATTCATTCCAGAAATTCAAATTTCTGTTTTTATCACACACAGCTTTGCATATCAGAGATCTCTTGCTTTTGCCACAGTCGGAAGGCTTATTTAAAGGGGATTGAAAACAATGACTGCCTGTTTAAATGAAGCTCTTCCTATGAGAAAAAGAAAGAGCTCCAATATACCATCAACAACAACCCAAAATATCATAACAGTGTATTCCTAGGATAGAAGCAACCAGGTGTGTAGTGGTCGCATAATGGTAACCTTGGTATTTTAATAGCTGTGTTACCTAATTATCACAGAAATTCGGGACTCATTTTTCCGATACGTAGTGGAGGTTCTAAACCAATATGGAGATAACAATGCAGTATTATAACTCGTGAAATCAGAATTATAAAGTACTCAACTTATCATACCAATTTAATCAACAAAACTCTGTCTGGTAAGGAAATTTATCAGTCTTTCGATTCATACTCACTTCTTGAAATGAAGCCAAAGTTTTCAAACCATATCCTCGATTAATAGTTCGCACGACATTAAATAAACACTTATCATCTTTCTTCATAGTAGTAGTGTTTGCAAGTAAACTGAATCGTCGATTACCACAATCTGTTTCATGAAATGAACAAATCTTTGGTTTACATTCAATTCTAGACAAGAAATGATGGCATGTGTTATTAATTGAACATAAATTAGAGCTGATGACAGTTTCACTGTTTGCAACAACGGACGATTTACAAGCGCATACAGTAAGAGATTCATAGGCCTTTTTCATGTTTTCAATCTGAGAATACAGAAAAAATCGACAACACAACAAGGTTGAATCAAAAAAACACAATCGTACATCAAACATAACTTGTAACACATGTAAACTTTAAATCTTATACATCATGAGCAAGTTAAGACGTCAATCACACTTCTGACAGTTTATAGTTGGAGTTGAAGGTAGTTCATAGGAAACCTATATCTAAAATCCATAATCAATAAAAGTCACTATAATGTAGACTGCCAAATCCTCTCAATAACCACAATCAATGATGGGTAGTATGACAGCAAACGATATGATAAAAGCGACCACAATAGACAACACTGGACAGTTTCACAGAATTACTAAAGATGAAGACAGATTCGTCAATCAATAGTATATTATGTATCTGAAAAAATTAGTGAACAACCCAAAAACGTCATAATGCACTCAGGCTACTCTCAAAATCAAAGCCATTCCCTACAAGCCTATGAGAAAAAGACATTGAGTTCATGACTTACTTGAAACTAGGAAGACCAGTATTTCAAATCCAAAATTTCTGCAGATGTTTATTCAACTTCTGTTATATTCACTGCGTTATTAGCCAGTTTGAGATCTGAGCGATAGTCTGCTAGACAGATCGTGATGATTGATCTTCGTTAATAAGAGAGAATATTCTCGTGATCATAAGTCAGTCAGTCAGATGCAACGTAGAACTTTGTACATAAGTACATCAGTTCATGTTGCCATACCACATCAGCACAGAGATGTAATTGTCAATTCAAATCCAATAGTAGAAGAGGTAGTAAAGGTATTAGAAGTAATCGGAGAGGTTAGGATGAGAAGATATTATTCATGAAGTATGATTAAATGAGAAAAGTTTAGAAAGTCAAAACTAGAGGTGTTGAAGAATCCAGAAGATTGGGATTTGAGAGAACACAAAGAGTAAATGCACCGGCTCCATTGCGAACGATTTTGAGCCATGTCGTTCAAGGTCTCTAACCATCGATTATTATCATCTCGCGGACCCCAACCAGGTAGTCGACAATTACCGACATGGCTCAGTCCACTCGTCAATGACTTCATGGATTTCTGCCATATTTTGGTTTGGCCGCCCCTAACTTTCTTCCAACCTACTCCTACACTACAAAACAAGGCTCGTCGAGGCAGTCGGTGGTTAGGCATACGCAAGACATGTCCCAACCACCTCAACTGATGAAGTTTCACCACTTCATCTATTGATCTGCCATCCTTACCTAGTACTCGTTTCCTAACGACAGCATTGCTTACTCGGTTGTTCAACGGAATGGAGAAAGTGGACATCCCTGACGGACACCACTTGATGTAGAGAATTCAGATGACAGTTCGCCATAAGCCCTCACTCGACCAGTGGTGTTCGAGTAAAGGGCTTGTACAAGGTTAATGTACTTCTCTGGTACACCTTTCAATGACATACACTACCACAGAACCTCACGATCCACTGAGTCAAATGCCGCCTTTAGGTCCAGGAAGACAACTATTGTAGGACGCCTAAACGTGTGTCTGTGTTCCAGGACCTGTCGTAGTGTGAAGATGTGGTCTATAAAACCGCGTCCAGGTCGAAAACCAGACTGATTTTCTCGAGTTTGCTCTTCACGAGCTTTCGTTAAGCGTCGAAGTATTACTGAGGCCAATATTTTAGATCGTGATCATAAGAATTAGTTTTAAAAACCACCTAATCTCTTGACTTCTATAACTAACCGGTCGATAGCTAGAGAACACGGGAAACCTGAAGAAACCAAGTAGGTTCCAAAGCTACGTGCACGATATCGACAACATCAGTCAGTTAATTAAAAGAATTTTGGTACTGACATACATCAGTTGAGGTTGCCATACCATATCTGCACAGTGAGATCAAATTGTCAGTTCAAACACTGTAGTAGTAGAGATTGTAGCAGTATTAGCAGTAATCAAAAAGATCATAGATTAGAGAAGTATAAATCAGTGAAATAAATTTAAAAAACATAAAGAATGGATGCACCTATGCCACCCTAACTGACGAAGATTCACTACTTCATCTATTGATCTGGGGGGTGGTTCCACAGTTGTCGAAAACATTCACCTGAGAGCTATGAGTTTCTGTTATTTTACTATGTTAAACATTGAATAGTAAGTGTATTGATAGTAAGCAACCTTATTTAGTGAAGAAAATTATACACAGGTAGGTAGAAAGAAAATCTACTCACCAAATCTTCATCTGTATAAATATTGGCTTCGATTAAAGCGAAGCTTTTAAGTACACTAGATAATTGATCATCTTCCGTATTAGGATCAATTATTGTGTTCACATTTAGTGCATTTAACGATATTAGTTCGTTGTCAGGCAGTTGTTCAGCATGCATTGAAATAAGTGGTAGGCCTTGTTTTAATACATGATTGACATATATAGCATGTGCTTTGGGAGCTCGATGTAATGCTAACAAGGAAAACAGGAATAAAAATTTACAACATGAATATATGCTGAATAAGATGATATGATATGTCGAGAAGAAATACACCTAAAAGATTACTGTCAGTTAACTATGTGAGTTGATTAATGGTTATACATGGTTATATAATAGAGAATATAAAACACTGTTCGTTGGAAAATATGTTCACAAGCATATTTCGCTAGTACTAATGATATGGGTTTATTCTGAAACCTTTGAATAGTAAGACCTTAAGCCGTAAGTAAATTAAAGAAGGGTTGCAGATAAGTATAAATGCAAGAAATTGAACTATCTGTATCATTTGTTTCACAGAGGGGAGAATTTAGAAAATTTTTAGACATTCATAATTAACTCAGTGTTGAATTCCGTGCGGTTATTGTGACTAATGATTGAAGGTGTTCGATGACATGGCTCGGAATTAGTCGCAATAATGCAAATGAATTCATTATTGGCATCCTATCTTATCTTGAACTTTTTTATTCTATGAATTGATTCTATCTTCTCGACTCATATCATTTTTACTTAATCTTTCCTACGATTACTGTGGTATTTTTCTTAATAATTACGTTTCGATGTGCTAATGTGATATGACAGATTGAACCGACGCATATATGTGCTAGGTTCATCGTTGCATTTGATTGACAAATTCAATTTAGTATCATAAGTGTTTACACTTTTTATTTTTGACATTCTATAGCTTTTTTGTTCCTATCTATTTTTTACCATTATTTTCATTAAGTTTAATCTATTTTCTTAACTGTAGACGAAATTTTGAAGAAAAAAAAATTTATTGAACGAATGCACTTTTGTATAAGACATTTTTTATCTGCCTATAAATTACAGTGTATACATAGTAAAAAGCACTTTTTAGAGTTAAAGTGAACTAGTGTTATACAATATGAATTGAATGTTTTAATTGTAAAGTTTTAAAACTTTTTCGATATCCCCCCTAGGAACATTATTGAAGACAAACTTTGCTAATGACATTTTATGAAACATTGATGGTTAAACAATCTTACACAGTAGTGGAATACAATATCCAAAGAATCTGTGATAAACCGTAACAAATGTTAACCTAACGCAGGGTACGTTTTGCTTTTACAGTATTACGCTATAAACTGACTATTTTTTCTCACTAATGATTATCATAGAAGTAATGAAACGTCATACAAACTATATCCAAGGCAAAGATGTCAGTTTTTCTCATGATAATGTTACTAGTAGGATAATCATTATTTAATACTAATATAACAATAAATAGTAAATTGTAGATGTGATAATTGGATAATATTTTACTACTATTACAACAAAGTAATTTGCATGTTCAGTTAGATGAAAGAAACTAAAGTATATTTAATATGTTTTAAATCTGAAATCTATGAACACGTCACTTGCCGTTTCAATACCATTTAGCCTACGTAGTGTATGAATCTGTTTTGAATTACCGAACTGTTGTAAGACTTTAAATAATGTCTTTGGTTTGTGAATCTTTATTGATTGAGGTGGCTAGGAAATATGTTACATGTACATGCAAAATACCTGCTTACGGTCTACGCGACTATCGCGATCAGTGGTTGGAAACTTTCGACAACATGGCTGGGAAACGATTACAATGATGTAGATGTATTTACTCTTTCTTTTTCTAGACGTCTTGAGTTTCAATATTCATCAAATCAACAATATGACTATGAATTAGATTGACGAGGCTGATGTTAGTTTTTCCACAGTAACAATTGTATGCATGATTAAAACTGTGTAACGGAATAAAATTTGCAGATGTAGATGTATAGTGTCTAACGAAGCCTCATACAGACATATATAAGTCAACTTATTCATAACGTATACTTATTTGTTTCAATTTGAAACACTGAATGATATTTGATGAATCAAGAAAGGACAAACATTTCAAGATAAACCGAACTTCTTTATTGCAATAAAGAATCAATCATTGTTAGACCACTATTAGAAACCTGGAAGCACTGGGACAGTCGTTTCCTACTAGTTTGGGATTTATCAGAAGTACGCAAACAAGACTGCTGCTACTCGCAGGATTGGAACCCAAGACATTCGACCTCGAGCGCGAACGCTTAATCTTTCGACAATTGAGCCGGTATCCAGTGACGTCTAGGTCATGGGTTCGATTCCCGAGAGCGGAGGTCGTGAATGCTCACTGCTGATGAGTCCCATACCAGAACGAAACGGCTGTCCGGTGCTTCCAGGTTTATAATGATAGTCTAACAATGATCGATTCATTAATTCAATCAAACGTATTCTCTATAATTCGATAATGAAAGAACTTCTTTTATTTATTAAGGTCTGAATTTTTCTTTCATGTAATTGACTAAAATGTCCGTTTCAAATAAATCAACAACAGAATAATATTATCTAACTGTATAAAAGAATAATATCTTCCAAAATAATACTCAAATATAATGGTCCTTTAGATATTCATTCCAAAATTCTATGAAATATGTGAAGATATTTGTATAGAAAACACTTAAAATATCATTTTGATAACACAGTCAGTGATAAACGATAGTATAAAATTACGGTGTTAGGAAGGAACAAAATAAATACAAGTACAAGGTCACAGATACATCATTGAATTACAAAGTAAACATTTTCATGCTTCAACTTACATCGTGAGAATGCCTTTTCAATTTTATTCGATCCATTTGTATCTTTTGCTGCGCTAGTTTGTAAGCCAATTTCATAAGGAAATACACGATTACGACAAATCCACTGATATTCTTCTGAACCAAGAAAATGCACAGGAAATGAACCTTCTGGATGAGCCATATTTAATATATTTATAGGAGCGTTTCGAGCATGAATTATTTCACATGGCCACCAACGAAATCCAGGTATTTTTGCCCAAATAATTTGAGCATATCTTGGAAAAACACCACGCCTTAAAAAGAGGTAGACACAAATCAGACAAACGTAGAAAGGATAATAAGTGGAGAAAAACAACTTTGTTGAATGAAGAAAAGTAAAAAAATTTTTAATCACGTTGTCTGAATATATTCTTACAACAAAATGTGATTCGTTTGGAAATTCAGACAGAAACAACATAGAACTTCGTACGTAAGTACATTAGTTCAGGTTGCCATACCACATTAGCACAGAGACGCAACTGTAAGTTCAAATCCAATAGTGGTAGAGATGGTAGCAGTATTAGGAGTAATGGCGAAGATTAGGGTATAATTCAGTGAGATAAAGTTAGGAAGAGAAAGATAGAGATGATGAGGAATTCAAAAGGTTTCAATACTTCATCTATTGATCTGCCATCCTCACCTAGTAATCCATTCCTAACGACAGCATTGTTTACTCGGGTGTCGCACGATACTCGAGCAATGCTTCGAAGACACATATGATCGAAGACAAGTAATCTACCAATATCTTCTACTCTCACTGGTCATGTTTCACAGCCATAAAGTAGGATGGAGCGAACTACTGCGCAGTACACTCGTCCTTTCGTCGGCAAACGGATATCTCGTCTGCATCATAAGTGACGCAGGATGGCAAAAGCCAATCGAGCTTTCTGTATCCGTGCTGTGAATTTGTCCGTTACCAGGCCATCAGCACTGATGAGACTACCGAGGTAAGTGAAGCGATCTAACGCTCGACTACTTCACTCCCTATCACCAGTTCAGGTGTCGATGCGACCTAATCTCGAAGCAACATTTTGCATTTCTAGAGGGAAAACTGAATACCGAACATGCTTGTATTGTTGCTTGGGGTAGTCACAAGACTCTGCATTATGTCAGCGTCTTCACCGAATAGGACTATGTCATCAGCATATTCTAAGTCAGCAAGCGTGGCTCCTGGTAAAAGGTCCACTTCTGAAGAGTCAGACGGTGACAATGTTAATTCTAGAAGCATATCTACGACAAAGTTAAACAAGAATGGGGAGAGTGGACAGCCTTGACGGACACCACTTGAAGTAAAGAATCCCAATGACAATTTGCCTTAAGCTCTCACTCGACCAGTGGGGTTCGAGTAGAAGGCCTGTATAAGGTTAATGTACTTTTTTGGTACACCTTTTAAGGTTCACTAAAAGTATAAAAAACACTTCGTATAAATAGAAGGAAACGAATTAATCACACTACAGAAAGTGACATGACACTACCGTGAAGACATAAAACAGAAAGAACTAAACAATCAAGCAATACATAAAAAATAACGTGTATTAATCAAAACAATTATACTATAAACTCAATCAAGATAAGATTTTGTTCAGTTAGAAGAGACATTCTACTATTCACCCAGATTTGTGCACTTCTCAAGGGTTCACTATAAAGGGTGAGTGCAATTAAAGATTCTGGTTTGTTTTGAAAATATTTTCTGTTAAGTCTTTTTCACCTACTGCATCCTTCTGACGGATTCACTCATGATGCATAAGCCAAAAATTAGTTTCCAGTAATTTCGGGAAAAAAACTAGGTGTTATTAAAATTTGTGGACTTTCGAGCGTTTCTAAAGTGAATTTGAGGAACGTTAACTACTTAGTAGGTTCAAAATAAGGTTATGAATTAATGTAAGGAATTACGATATCAATTATATCAGAATCTTATTCAGCCATATGGATGATGAAGTTCACTCAGAAGTTCTAGAGGTGCCATTTTAAATCATTTGGGTTCGCGCACAATTTATAGTTCTAAAACAAACTGTATAACATTAACATTCAAGTGCATCTTAATAATGACGATTATGATCAAGGACAAAAAGCTGCAACTTAAAAGAAAAGAAGAAAAACTTACCGACAGGATCGACAAACAAATTTATCATCAGTTAAAATACCGAATGAAGGTTCGAAGCAATCCTTGTGATATGTAGTTGGACAAAGTTGACATTCGATCTATTAGACAGAATGTAAAATGTCTTATGAGTAAAGTCATAAAACAAAATGTTATTGATAAGATTTATACGTAATGAAGTGCTTTTATTGGTGAGACTAGCAACTACAACAATATTTATATCTATTTCCTATACACTTCAACAAGGTCAATTAGATGGAGGCTAACAAACAGTACTGGATGACAGTCAGTGACTTAATTGTATCACATAAGTTAAATCATATGAAGCATATGGCATAGTAAAAAGTCATAGAAGTGCAAACCAAACTAGATGAGAAAAATATGCAACGGCAAGTATAGATTAATAAAACTTACACGTTCAGATGCATGCTTAAAGCAATGGAAACACCAATTAGGATGCTGAGTTTTAAAATTTGACAAAGTTAATAGAGATTCATCAAAGTGTCTAGGGCATACAATATGAGAAAGTGAAACTTCAACTGAACCAGCTGGTGTACACAAATCACCTGTATGGAATACAGCTGGACATCTAAAATATTACATTAAATCAAAATGACAAAAACTATCATAAATTAAATACAAATAATTGCAACGGAATTCAATAAACTATTTATTGCAGTGAGAAAACCATGGACGCTTATGTTATTTGACGTGGTACTAAGGATGATTCAATGAAGATTATCAATTTTTTGTACTAAATATGGCAGTCGAGCATGGAATTTCGAAATCAAATTTTTGTGAGTGTTAACTGAACAGTTGGGAAGTAGAAACATTTCCCAACAAGAAACTGAAATCAATTGATTTGATATGCTCGAAACTATTGCGAGTTAACCTTACTCCGTAAACGGAACGAAGTCTTGATAAGGAGTAGAGAATGTATTCTACAAGCGCCCAGAAAATTTGAGGTTGCTAAACACACAAATCAAGCTTATTTATACAATGATAGAAACGCCCTTGGGAGAGCCACAAAATAGCGTGCTAGAAAAAACCCGTCAACCAATGACAGTCAGGAACCTCCGAGTGGGAAATGTAAGCTGTAGGTCAACTAAGCGTTTCTTGGAGCGAAAACATAAAAATCCAAAATTTCAGAAATTACAAAATGACGACCTCTCCAAGTGAGTTCTGGGGATCTAACCTCCTCAACAGGACTATACGAAATGTGAGGATATTAACTACAGGAATTTAATCAAGAATCATTAACGACATGTGGTAACAGTCAGAAGAGGAAATGCAGAAAGTTCCAGAGAGGCCTAGAAATTAGAACAGTAGTGAGGTCAATATGTTTAAGACAATCAATAGAGTTGCATAGATTCGCTGAAAAACTAAGATGTTAATATAAAAGTGATAATTTAATGGTTAAGGCACCTTTAAACATTATCGATATCAAAAAGTGGCACAAATAAGGGGCTATCTTCCAATTGGACCTTTGGAATATTTCGTATCCACATTTAAGAATGTTGTGTCCAGAATATCGTTAATTCAACCAAAAGTTATTTACTACAAGTGGTAATGTTTGAAAGTATTTAGTGAAGCATATAGAGTCATGTTAATGTAGGCAATTTCTTGAATTGAGTGAATAAAGACAGGTTTTATAGAATTATGGATTAGAAATTAAGGGACTTGAGTTTAAACCGAGAAACCTTATATTTTAACTCGATTTTACGTATTTCTCTTTGGGCAATCGAGTATAACGCTGACAATCAGTTAGTTAATGGAACAAAACTACCGAGTCCTTACTAATGAAGCCTACTGTGTGATCTGATATGAGGTCTAGTGACTGAAAGCTTTTACATGTAGATTTTAGTGTAGTTCCAAGAGACTAGGTATAATACTTTGTGAGCGGAAACTGTAATTATTGGGACTGCAGGTCCCAAGTCCGGATAAAGGAGGGTCGGGCACGGGGGTTGGTGGCCCCATCCCTTAAAAACCTAAATCGCTGGAGAAACGCTAACCAGAAAAATCAATTCAAACCATTTTAACTCTGCCCTGGGAGTTGGAAGGCTTTCGTTCAGAAGAGTTAACACGTCTCATGATAAAGGCCGAGATCCTTCGGAAGTCAAGAGGCCGATGCCACTTTCGACAACCAGAGCAACCATTCTATTAGGTACATGGAATGTTCGAACATTGTGGGAGACTATTACAAGTTGCTGCATAAATGAAAAGATACAACCTCGAGGTACTTAGAATCAGTGAAACGCATTGGACGCAAGTTGGACAACTGAGTCTAGCTTCAGGAGAGCTGCTGTTATACACCGGCTATGAAGAAGAAAGTGCAAGTACAAGGAGTCACACTGATGCTGTCCAAACAAGCACAAAAGGCACCGATAGGATGGGAATCTCAGGGACCCAGGATCATCAAAGCTTCCTTCAAAACAAAGAAAGAGGACATTAAAATGAACGTCATCTAATGCTACGCACCTACCAATGACTACAATGACGATGTTAAAGATCGATTCTACGGGATACTGAAGTCAATTATTTAGAAATGCTCATCGAAGGATTTGATCATCCTGATGAGAGACCTAAATACCAACGTTAGCATGGACAACACAGGATACGAAGATATCATGGGACAACATGGACAGGCAGAAAGGAACGAAAACGGTGAGAGATTTGTAAACCCATGTGCCTTCAACAAAAAGGTCATCGGTGGCACAATATTCCCACACAAACGCATACACAAAACTATATGGATTTCACCCGATCATACTACTAAGAACCAAATCGAACATATCTCCATCAGTGGAAAGTGCAGAAGGACCTTCGAGGACGTGAGAACCAAAAGAGGAGCTGATATAACCTCAGATCACCACTTGCTGGCCACCAAAATGAAACTGAAACTCAAGAAACACTGAACAACGAGGCAGACAACACAAAATTTTAATACTGCCTTTCTTCGGGATACCGTAAAACACAACCAATTCAAGATAGCCCTCAGAAATAGGTTCCAGGCCTTGGAAAGGAAACAACCTTGGAGAACGATTGGAAAGGGATCAAAGAGGCAATTACTTCAAAATGTCAGGAGGTTCTGGGCCACGAAAAGAATGGATTTCCGTTGGTACTCTGGATTTGATTCAAGAAAGGAGGAACAAAAAGACTTCAATCAACATCAGCCGAACAAGAGCAGAGAGAGTCAAGGCATAAGCTGAATGCACAGGAGCAAACAAGCAAGTGAAGAGGAGCATCAAAGCCGAAAAACGTAAATATGTGGAAGGTCTAGCAAAGACGGCGGAAAAGGATGCAAGAAAAAGAAACTTAAGACAATAGTACGATACAACAAATAGGCTCTCTGGAAAATATCGAGCAGCAGGACCAGACAACATTCCAGCAGAGGCAATGAAAACAGATGTAGAAGCAACTGCGAAAATATTCTACATTCTCTTCAAGAAGATTTGGGATGAGGAACAAGTACCATCAGATTGGAAAGAAGGATACCTGACCAAAATACCAAAGAAAGGAGATCTCAACAAGTGTGAGAGCTACAGAGGCATCACTATTCTCTCAATACCAGGCAAAGTCTTCAATAGGGTATTGTTAAATAGAATGAAGGACTTCGTAGACGCCCAACTTCGAGATCAACAGGCTGAATTTCGTAGGGATCAATCGTGTACTGAACAAACAGCAACATTACGGATCATTGAAGAACAATCAGTTGAATGGAACTGACCACTCTACATCAACTTCATTGACTACGAGAAAGTATTCGATAGTGTGGACAGGAAAACACTATTTAGGCCTCTTCGACAGTACGGCGTGCCTGAGAAGATAGTCAACATCATACGGAGGACAGTTGACAGACTCGTTCGAGGTGAAGACCAGTGTCGGGCAAGGATGCTTACTCTCACCGATCTCCTGATGATCAACTGGATTATAAAGACATCAATATTTGAAGAGAAGCAGGGATAATAGGACGATTTAGACTTCGCAGATGATCCGACTCTTCTATGGCACACGCAACAACAAAAGCCAGAACAGACGACCAGTGTAGCTGCAGGTCTCAACATACATAAAGGGAAAAGCAAGATTCACAGATACAACAAAACATGCGCCAACCAAATCACACTTGATGGAGACGCCTTGAATGCTGAAACTTTTACACATCTGGGTAGCATCGTCAACAGTTAAGGTGGATCCGATGCAGCTATAAGGGCGCGGATCTGCAAAGCAAGGGCTGCATTTCTACAATTGAACAACACCTGTAAGTCCAAACAACTATCAACCTATACAAAATCAGATTTTTCAAGACAAAAGTCAAGACAGTTCTAAAATATGGAGGAGAAACTTGGAGAACTACGAAAGCGATCATCAACAAGATTCAAGTATTTATTAACCGATGACTAGGCAAAGTACTGAGGACCAGTTGGCCAGACACCAGACAGTCAGTTATAACATAGAACTTTGTAGATGAGTACATAAGTTCACGTTGTCATACCGCATCAGCAAACAGACGCCACAGTCAGTTCACATCCTATAGTTGTGGAGATAGTAATGTGGTGCGCGCTACTCATAAGTAGTATTTGACGCGAGTGAAAACGTAATGTCTGGCAACAGAAGATGAGGGAAGATCAAGAAAGGAAGAGTGGGAACACAATGGAATTTGTATGAAACGCATGAATAGTGAAATGTCAGACAATGGATTGAAGATTTGCAAATTAACCGTTAACGATATGGTTTTCCTATTTTACTGAGTAACTCTGTAATTTTCGATAAATACAATTCGGTTGCCCCCACCTGTGTTCTCCTTCACTACGATAAAAGTAATAGAAGTAATAGAGAAGATTAGTAATGGAAGATATTATTCAAGAAGTACAGTTCAGTGAAACCGATTTAGAAAGAGAAACAGGAAGGTAATGAGAGATTCAGGAGATTGGAATTTGAGAGAATACAATGAATAAATGCACCTGCGCCATCGCAAACGATTCTGAACCGGGTCGTTCAAAGTCTCTAACCATCGGAGACATTGGTTTCGCAGACCCCAACCAGGTAGTCGTCACCTACCAACATGACTCAGTCCACTTTTCAGTGACTTCATGGATTTGTGCCATCTTTTGATCTGGCCGCCACTAACTTTCGTCCTACTCCTACACCAAAAAACGTAGCTTGTCGAGGCAGTCGATGATTGTGTATTCGCAACACATGTCCCAACCACCTCAACTGATGAAGTTTCATTGCTTCATCTATTGATCTGCCATCCTCATCTAGTAATCGATTCCTAACGACAGCATTGTTTACTCGGGTGTCGCACGATACTCGAGCAATGCTTCGAAGACACATATGATCGAAGACAAGTAATCTACCAATATCTTCTACTCTCACTGGTCATGTTTCACAGCCATAAAGTAGGATGGAGCGAACTACTGCGCAGTACACTCGTCCTTTCGTCGGCAAACGGATATCTCGTCTGCATCATAAGTGACGCAGGATGGCAAAAGCCAATCGAGCTTTCTGTATCCGTGCTGTGATTTTGTCCGTTACCAGGCCATCAGCACTGATGAGACTACCGAGGTAAGTGAAGCGATCCACACGCTCGACTACTTCACTCCCTATCACCAGTTCAGGTGTCGATGCGACCCAATCTCGAAGCAACATTTTGCATTTCTAGAGGGAAAACTGAATACCGAACATGCTTGTATTGTTGCTTGGGGTAGTTACAAGACTCTGTATTATGTCAGCGTCTTCACCGAATAGGACTATGTCATCAGCATATTCTAAGTCAGCAAGCGTGGCTCCTGGTAAAAGGTCCACTTCTGAAGAGTCAGACGATGACAATGTTAATTCTAGAAGCATATCTACGACAAAGTTAAACAAGAATGGGGAGAGTGGACAGCCTTGACGGACACCACTTGAAGTAAAGAATCCCGATGACAATTTGCCTTAAGCTCTCACTCTACCAGTGGTGTTCGAGTAGAAAGCCTGTATAAAGTTAATGTACTTTTTTGGTACACCTTTCAATGACAGACACTGGGGCAGAACTTCGCGACCGACCGGTCGAGGAAATCAGGAAGAAGCGGTGGAAGTCGATAGGACACACACTGCGGAAAGCACCCAATCGCCCTCACTTGGAAAGCTCAAGATATAAGGAAGAGAGGAAGGCCAAGAAACACATTACGCCGTGAAATAGAGAAAGATATGAGAAGAATGAACAGAAATTGGACAGAACTGGAAAGGGAAGCCTCAAAACAGAGTAGGTCGGAGAAAACTGTTCGGCGGCCTATGCTTCATTGGTGGTAGTAACAGGCGTAAGATGGAAAAAAGGTGAAGCCAGTGGAAACCTGTCGATAGTAGGAGTAGAAGGGATACTAGGAAGAGAAGAAGGGAGTTGATCACAAACAACAAGATCTCGATTGTGTAGGCAGTCATCGTTTTCAGATGCTTCTGCTGTACACGTTTTTTGGAGGTACCTGAAGAGAAAGCTGGATTACAAATGGTCTTGATGACATGGTGAATGTGACTGTGAAACCCGAAGGAAAACTGCTAAAGAAGAGTCACATACAGCCTTTCTGTCAGTAGTTTCGATATACTAAATCCGTAAATTTCATGCCTCATCGCTGAGGGCCGAAGCGAAGTGTGCTAAATTTAAAGCTGACCTTTTCTAACACTTTCTGTTATTATTTTACATTACCTTTGTCATATATGAGACTGTTTACAATGTATGTAATGCAAAAAGCTAGAAATTACCGAACACATTCCAAAAATGGTCCTTCACTGGAACTTGGCTTTTTTAATGGGTGACAATTAGTTTCATTAGATTCCAAATAGCATGTATTGCAGGTGTGGGCAGGGCAACGAAGAATTTGGAAAGTTGCAGTCCGAGTAGTTACATTATCCGACGGTCTTGTGAGAATCCCAGGCCATCCTGATAGGCAGTCTCGGTGGAAGTGCCTGCTGCAATTAATAACCTTAAGAGGATAAAAAAGGGCCAAATGTAATTACACTATTGCACTTATCATCTACTGCATTGATGAATACAACTAAATAATACAGCAGGGTATGAGGTATTCATTGCAGATGTGGTCTGAGTTGGATTGCTTACAACTAATTAAGTAAAATCAGTGAATATAGCATCGCTAACATTTGGTTTCATTCTGAACTTATTTTAAGCACTCTTTTGTAGAAGATCTCAGTCAAAGATATCATGCAACAAAATATATTTCAGTTGTGAAACATAGACTCATTTCTAGTTCTTTATGGCTTCTAACATTGATTTATTGTGTTTGATGTGATTGTTGTTATACTGCTCTGAACAACAATACTTGTGTAATCTCCTGGACGAAATTATTTGAGCACAATTAGAAATTAATTGGTTTTTATTGGAAGGTAGTTGATTTCGGAACATGAATTACTACTTATGCAATTCCAACTCTTCAAACTTCATAGAAATATACTTGTAATTCCTTTATCATTTATTTTTCCTAAACGAGTACCACTAGGTGAAGTTAGAGGACTTACTTATTTATAATCGCTACTAAATACAAAAAGGAGTGATATTGTTTGGGAAGAGGTGCTTGCGCTGCAGAATTAACATTGAAACGGGATCCAATAAAGATTATCTGCGGTGGAATACGTCACAAGCAGATTTTTCTAATAAGCTTACTAGCTATTATTAAGTAACAACTAAAAACGAGTACTAATGTCAATATTTAGTGAGATTGGACGTCCCAGTTTTAGGTAGATCTCGAAAGTACGGGTTGTTAACTTTCAGGCAAAGATAGGTGATTAGTACGAAAATTAGCTCATACATATCAAACCATTATTTTACTCGGATTTTCAATTCGACTTCCTTTAATCAATACGTTTTACGTTGTAGATCTCTTAGTTTATTACTTTTAGCGCTCGTATTTCCTGCTCAGTTTGTTTGTGTATTAGTTTATCATATTTTTAACCAATTTTTGCGGTTATCGTAAATATACTCATAGACAATAGCTTTTTGTCTTCTCTAAAGGACTAAAAAATAAATTATTCGATAACTTGACTACCATAACTAGTTTGATCTGATTAAAGAGAATGTATCCACCTTTACTGGTTACCACAGTTTGTGTTTGAGAAATACATGCAACTAACAATGGAGTCATATCTGAACGATGATGTCTACAGCTTGCCTGTTTATAGATATACAAAATGACTAAGTCTGTCAGTCGCAACGTACAACTAGGTGCATACGTACATCAGTTCACGTTACCAAGCCCAGAATAGCATAAAGAGATGACATTGTCAGGCACTATTAATAGTAATGGAAAAGATCGGGGATCGAAGACAAGATTCAAAAAATATAAATCAGTGAAATGAAAATCAAAACGAAAAATCATGATGAATTCAGAAACTTAGAATTTAGGGGAGGCCACAGAATGGATGCACCAGCGCTATTGCAAAAACTTTTGAGCCGAAATGACTCATTAGAGAACATATTGAACAGTCAGTCATACTTTATTGCTACAATTATGCCAGGTAATTTTGATGAGCTCTAGTTGGTGATTTCAGCATACTAAGTAAATATGAGTGAAAAAGATGATGATTATTCATGAGAGCGCAGCGCACAGTAAAAATGTTACGAGTGTTATTTAAAAACCATTACAAATAATGTACCTGACACGCGTACAACTGACCAGCACCATCTTTGGATCCTGTTTCGCTTGGTTTACCACATATCGAGCAGAGGAACTCGCCGATAAGACATTGTGGACAACGGAATTTCTCAGGGCGACAATTTTCTATTTTATATAAGACGCAATAAACAGAGCACTATTAAATGGGGTTGATTAAGGACAGATAGAAATTTTAAAAATTTAGGAGAAAATAATAAGCGATCAGACACAGGCATGTATCATGTTGAGTAAATATCTTTCAAAATTAAGATTTGGCTTAGTCATCAAAAAACATGTGACTGAAGTTAAGGAGAATCAAAGAAAGAAAAACTAAAGGGAATCGATGAAGATAAGTGTCTAAGAATATGCACTGTTTAAAAGCGGAATAGCGTGTAGTTCTCTAACAGTGAGATAGGATTTGAGCATTTTATTTGTTCTGTGGACGCGAAATAAGAATTCTACACTCTGATAAATGGCTCAGATTTATTTAGGAATTCTACAAATTGACAGCATAATTTGGGCTGGTCACTTGGTTATTTCACGTTGTAATTCTACTCAAATTAAAAATGCAAACCTAGGCAGGTAGAATTAACCACAATCTCTACAGGTTTAAGATTTCACTGAATGGTTTACTTTCTCTATCCACTACTAGATGTTTAACACTAGCGTTGTCCATCTGGTGGTTTTAATATACACAAAAAATGGAATGTGTGAAAAGAATCAATATAAATGATTTGTTGGTTAGAATTTATGTTCAGACATGTGAATACCAACCAAATCAAGATCCTATGATTTGCTTTACGGTAGAACCACCTAAATCAGTTAGCAACTACAATTGGAACTGCTTTTAGAAGATATTTCAGTAATTCTTTAGTCGATGTCAGTTCGTGATGTAGAAAATCTACAAAAACTGCATTTTTGTCGACCGGTAGAATAATAGTGGACATGAATATTAAAGAAAAAGTACACAATAATTACGCAGTTTAGAATACCTGCAGGTGGTGGAGTTTTATATCTCATGCAATGAGGGTGAACAATTCGACCACACGGACCTTGACACTGAAACATTTGACCAGGAGCATTAGAATAAACTTCACACACTGGACATACTGGTTGCAAACGATACTGTGCTGGCGATACTATAAGACGATGAATTTCAATGTCAAATTCTTGGGTTTCCGACTGTTTTTTACTCGAAACAGATTTCTAACATTGAATAGGAACACAAAAAACAATAAAGTGAACGATATTTGTGAAAAAAACACAAATGATACGAGAGCACTAACTAATGGCTGTTTATTTTACAGAGTTCACTAGTCTCCAACCATAAAAATGGCAGGTGTATTAAAGCGAGCCTTATTTTTTATACAAACATTTTTTAATCTAAACAAAGTCAAATAAATAAACATTTCGCAAAGTAAACCTAACGAAGTAGGCCGGAAAATCAGTTCTCCGACATTGTATTAACAAATAAATATTTAGTGATTATGGGTGAATAAGTCAACAATGTACACACTAAGAACCGATATGGTAGATATGAAGCTATACAGTTTTATTTTTCGGTCTGAATTTGAATTACTAAATGAAGCAATTTGGTTTAATAAGAAGTGACCAACAAACTAAGAATAATGTCAGTAGTAGCAACAATCTAAACAGTTTATTCACTCAAAACAGATAAGGCTCTGTTAAGTCAGAAAGTATTGACATGAAGGTTTCCATGTTTTTTATCACACTAGGTCAATGAAGATGCACCAGGCTCTACATGATGTGACTGAGAACCGGTCACAATAATGCAGATATATTCGCTTTGTCTTTGTACACATCTTGAGTTCCACTCTCCCTACATACATACTTCCCCCGTGTCTTGTCAAATCATCTCACCGCATAGTCTTTCTTTTTACCATTACAAACACATTTTTTTGGTCTGTTGTTATCTTCAGGGCGGAGCGATAATCAAGTATTGCAACTTGGACCAACGCACATCCGTGACAGGCTCGATGTTGATTATATTTGTCTGTCTCACAGAATGATAGTTGACGGCTTCTATTTTGAACCTTTTCCGATGGAGCCTTAATTCATTGGGTTGTACGATTTTTAGGATCCCAGTAGGAGAGTCATGACAGAGTGACAGATGTTAGTTGTGTATAGTTGTTTTTCATGCCACGATGCCAGATCATAAACTAACCACTTACCTTTTTACCACCCAGTTCCACTTTGGACTTTACTGTTGGTAGATTGGGCTTATCTGTTATGGCACCACTAGTACTGAAACAATTACCCAGAAACACGACCTCTTCTGTTACCTTTAACGGCTGACCACAGAGAGTTAGTAGAGACGCTGAATCCTGAGCTGTATTTTCAAGGTGTAAAGTAAATGCTATATTGATGGATAATAATTACCAACTGACACGGTAATATACCAAAAACTCGCAAAAATTTCAAGTTACATTATTAAGTGAAAATATGTAGAGATGAAAAGTAGGTGGTAGTGTTTAAGCCCAATGTATGTAGGTCTTCAAGGAAAGGAGTTACAGATTAGGCTGGATATCTAACATTTTAACAGATAAATGTTTTGATTACAATCATTGAGTCCGAGAAGAAATGAAGTAATGGAACGAAAATTTGGAAATGTTTGAATGAGCACCTGTGACTATGCATTTAAACAGAAGAGGTATAAGAGAAAAGCAAAAGAAACTTAGGGTTACAGTCACCAGTAAACTTACTTTACTCGACTTAGAAGTACGATCTTTGCATTTGGTTGCAGATTCATTGGCTTTGGTGACTGTTGCTTCTTTGCACTTACGGCTTTTTTCCAACCGCTGTAAATAAAGTTCGAAGATTTTAGCACATTTTATTGGTAAATGGCATGATTAAAAAATGAACTTTACTAGTGCTATGACTTGCCGTATAACAGTTGGTTGATGGGTTATACACTAGAAGTTTTAAAAACGATATACGACTCGTTTTCTCGTAAGCTGCTATCTAGATACGGTGGTCGGGATTGACTATCGTAATGACCCAACCGAGCCGGATCTATCAGAAAGCAGTTATTTTTGGTTTGACCATGCTAAGTAGGAGAACGGAAACACCAAAAACAACAATTTAGGGACTGAGGGCGAAGTCGCACTGCTGACTTTGGTGGGATGTGACCGCGGTAAGGTGGTTTGTAGTGAGATTGATAATCATGACGACCAATGGGAAGCAACATTGAAGTACGTGACATTGATAGCTAGGGAGTGAAGTAGTCGGGCGTATCGACCGATTCACTTACCTTGCGAGTCTCATCAGTGCTGATGGTCTGGTGACTGACGAAATATCAGCACGGATACAGAGAGCTCGATTGGCTTTTGCCAACTTGCGTCATTTATGGAGTAGGCGAGATATCCGTTTGCTAACCAAAGGACGAGAGTACTGTGCAACAGTTTTCTCCGTTCTCCTATATGGTTGCGAAACATGACCGGTAAGAGTAGAGGATATTTGTAGGTTACTAGTATTGACCACAGATGTCTTAGAAGCATGCTCGTGTATCATGGGACATCCGAGTAAGCAATGCTGTCGTAAGAAAACGGTGGCTAGGTAAGGGTGGCAGATCAATAGATGAAGTATTGAAACTTCATCAGTTGAGGTGGTTGGGACATGTGTTACGTATGCCTAACCGCCGACTGCCTTGAAGAGCTACGGTTTTTGTGGAGAGTAGGTTGGACGAAAGCTAGGGTCGGCCAGACCAAAACATGGCACAAATCCGTGAAATCACTGACAAGTGGACTGAGTCATGTTGGTAGATGTAGGGTACATGGTTGGGGTCCGCGAGATGATAATAATCGATGGTTAGAGACCCTGAATGACATGGCTCAAAACCGATTGCGATGGCGCCGGTGATTTTACTGTTTGTGATCTATGAAATTCTAATCTTCTGAATTCCTCGTCACCTCTATGTTTCTCTTTCTAAATTTACGTCACTGAATTATAACATCTTCGAACCTTAATCTCTCCGATTACTTCTAATACTTTTACTACCTCTACTACTATAGGATTTGAATCGACAATTGTCTCTGTGCTAACGTGGTATGGCAACTTGAACTGCTGTACTTACGTGCAAAGTCCTACGTTTCTGTTGATGATTTGATGATAAATAGAAGACAAGTAATCTACCAATATCTTCTACTCTCACTGGTCATGTTTCACAGCCATAAAGTAGGATGGAGCGAACTACTGCGCAGTACACTCGTCCTTTCGTCGGCAAACGGATATCTCGTCTGCATCATAAGTGACGCAGGATGGCAAAAGCCAATCGAGCTTTCTGTATCCGTGCTGTGATTTTGTCCGTTACCAGGCCATCAGCACTGATGAGACTACCGAGGTAAGTGAAGCGATCCACACGCTCGACTACTTCACTCCCTATCACCAGTTCAGGTGTCGATGCGACCCAATCTCGAAGCAACATTTTGCATTTCTAGAGGGAAAACTGAATACCGAACATGCTTGTATTGTTGCTTGGGGTAGTTACAAGACTCTGTATTATGTCAGCGTCTTCACCGAATAGGACTATGTCATCAGCATATTCTAAGTCAGCAAGCGTGGCTCCTGGTAAAAGGTCCCCTTTTGAAGAGTCAGACGGTGACAATGTTAATTCTAGAAGCATATCTACGACAAAGTTAAACAAGAATGGGGAGAGTGGACAGCATTGACGGACACCACTTGAAGTAAAGAATCCCAATGACAATTTGCCTTAAGCTCTCACTCGACCAGTGGTGTTTGAGTAGAAAGCCAGTATAAGGTTGATGTACTTTTTTGGTACACCTTTCAATGACAGACACTGGCGCAGAACTTCACGACCGACAGAGTTGTATACAACTTCAAGGTCGAGAAGTACTACTATTGTGGACCGTCTGGACGTGTCTCTTTGTTCTACGACCTGACGTAGTGTGAATATTTGGTCAATACATCCGCGTCCAGGTCTGAAACCAGACTGGTTTTCTCTAGTCTGCTTTTTACGAGCTTTAGTTAGGCGTCTAAGTATAATCGAGGCTAACAATTTAGAAACTATATTAGTTAGACTGATTCCCCTGTGATTGTCACAAGAGGACTTTTATTCTTTCTTATAAATTGGGACAACGAGCGATTGAGACCAGTCAGATGGGATTATGACCAGTTCCCGGATCCTACCTAAGATCTCAGTAAATCTAAGTGTAAAAACTGGACCACGACCCTTGAAAATCTCACGGGTAACCCTGTCAGGCTCTGCCGCTCTCCATCGCTTTTCTGTAGCTTTTTCAACTTCGTAAAGACTTGGATGACTTACATCAATTTGCTAATAAGGATGACTGGAGATCGTGGGTAACCGAAGTCTAACCAGTAATTAGACTTTTAATAAAATGGCTAAAAACCGTTTACAGTAGCACAGATGCCTCCGTTCTTATCCTTTGAACAAATTCTAATCTTGCAAACACCTCATCACCTCCTCTCTTCTCTTTTGAAACTATTACACTAAGTTATATATCTCAAATCATATCTATAATGATGCTTATATTGCTACAACCTTTAGTACTATCAGATTCAAAGTGACAATTTTATCTGCCTGTGCAAACATGGTAATGCTACATGCACTAGTGTACGTACATGACAAGTTCCAAAAGATTCAATTAGAAATAGTTTATAATAATAGACTGCATATATTAATTCAAAACGAAATTAAAAAAATAAGTCTTCATACTTTATTCAGTGTTTGTACCTATAAATCGCATAAATAAAACCGATAGGTGTTGATTGGAGCACTAATAAAGCTAGTTTACTGTTTAGTGTAAAAGGTCATACATAAGCTCATCAAACACAACTGAATACAACGATATTTTCAGGGACTACAGGAATCTGGTATTCAAAACAATACGTTTTCGTGAATATGAAGAAACTGGTCACTTAATGAAGATGCATCCCTACACATCAATGAGCAGTAAATTCATGTAGTTACTGCACTGCGATTACACTCGACTTAATAGACTCATCACGAGTAAGCGAAACTTCAAAGGTGTATAGGTGAAAGTGTATCATAGTGGCAAGACCAATGGATTGTTAAACATTTGTGGACTTGTTGATGAATTGAGTCAGAACCGATGAGTCATAAATACATCAAGTTATCTACAGGTCAAACCTGAAAACAAGGTATTTCGTTGGAAATGTCGTGTAATAGTAAGTGGGATTTTGAACTCACCTGCAAAGGATCATCAAAAATACCTAGTTGATCACGCAGGTACCTGCGCTTTTCCGCTATATCAAGTGCAGGCCATTGGGTTCTAAGCTCATCCTCAAGCATTTTCTTATCCAGATCAGGATTTTTCTGCAAACGTACTTCCATTTCGTCCTTCAAGAAGGTTGCTAACGATTCCGCCTCCTCTTCTATCGTTAAAGGGACATTACTCATCAATTCTAAGAGCTCTCCTAGAAAGTTATGATTTTTTTTAACCTGAAATACCTTCTTCAGCTTTGTTTAACCTTCTAGATTTCTGTTTGACGGATATTCGACCGAACCTTTCAATTCTTTCGTTTACCGTAAGGTTCATTGCAACCTCAGCTTCTTTCCACGACTGAATCCAAATGCTTTTGCTACTTGATACAGATTTGCTTTCAAATTTAACTTTATCCTTCATTAAACAATGAACAAAAGCTACTAGAACTTACAGCTTTGTCTTTGGATATGCGTAGCTTTTCTTGGACATATTCGTCAAAATTCTTTTTGCCAGAAAACGGGATAAGATTGTTAGCAGATACCCAAGCTCTTTCTACTAAAGGGCCAAGGAACTGAACATGGTATATGAATGATCGCCCTGAAACTTCAACTAAGCATTAAGATGTCACCAACCCTTCTCTTTAACATACGAATCACCATCAGGGGAATGATAAACCATACAAGGCCACCAAGGATGTGAACCGACTTTCGCCCAAAATATATTACCTACTTGGTAATCATCGGAGATGCTGGGCATTACTGACCTCAAGTTTAGGTAGCAATTTATTTGCAAACCGCGCTCCTATTCAAATCGTAAAAAGTAAGTGAACTACAATCATTCCCAGTCTGTTATCTAACAGATAAATAAACTGTGAAAGTGATTAACCTTTCAAGCACATGTTTTATATGAGATATTTGCATGACGATAAATAATACCGCGTATTTGAAGTGTGATGGAGTGCGTATCTCGATCGAGTGAAAAATTCATTGGCTTCGCAACCTCCTGCGATGAAAATCATTCTCCAGAGAGTGTACTTGAAAGAACAAAAGGTTCTTTCTGGATAACAACAGGAATTTATCCACAAATGTTAACTATATCGCTTGTGCAACCAAGTAATATTAATAAAATCAAGATTGTTAGTAGCAATATCAAAACCTTTCTAGTAGGTATTCATGGTCATATAAATTCAGACTCCTTAGCATTTCAATGCATAGTTGATTCATTGTTGTTTAGGAGTTACAAATTTTTTACTAATTCTTGTAAATCTTGATGAGCGTTCGTTAATATTTCCCTTATTTTTTATCATAATTTCATTCACTCATTGATAAAACAAAGTCTAAAACTTTGTTTTGATTGTATGTAAATAACGATCCCGGCTATTATTGCCTTCGGTTTTGTTGAATTAGGATCAAACAGACTAAAGTTTATAAGTTTCTTTTTTTGCCAGTTAATCTTACTACCAACTGTTAAGCATGTTTGATGTCTACTATTTTGCCTAATTCGAGCTGCAGTTTTACTTGTTGGGGGATTTTATAAATTGTTCAACCTGGTCATTCACAAACTACCTTGTTTGTAATGGATAAAATTACACAAAGAGCATAGAAAAATTCCTGTGTTCTTACAGTAAGATAAGTCTAATGCCTTCATCCAACTAAATCGGAATTTCAGCCAACAGAGTCACTAAGCCTATGCATACTCGAAGGGTGATGTGCCTTCGTCATAATTCATTGCGTTTTGGACAAAAACAGTGAATCTTAGGTGAAAATCAGACTTGCAACTACATTGAATAAGTGAGATAGCATAGTTATTTTTTAAATGAGGGTCAGTGTGGATATATATATATATATATATATATATATTTATACGTTTTACGTCACAGAAAAGCAGTGTACTCAAGGTAACTGATGAGTTCAATGGAGCTAGTAGCTTAGTCAGCCAATGCAATACACCTATCCGTGTGTCTTCTAACTTTCAGTCCAAGTCAACGATATCTGATCGTCTTACAAGAATAAGACTTCCTAGAACAGATGTGTTAGGGCATGCCGCTTTCTTATTAACTACTCACACTTTTGAGGTGCTAACGGAATTTCTCAGCTTGTTACAACTATTATTTCGCAGCTTATTTGTGTTGTTTTTGAAAGCTTAAACCAAAATCCTTTCGGAATTGTAATTCATAGCTTTGTGTTTAGCTGTAGATTTCATTGAGCAGCGGAGCAAAAGTGTTGGGGTCCGATACTGAAATATATTTTGTATATTTCTTTCGTCTTATCACCATATTTATGCTTGTTTTTATTGCATTGTTTTGTATTTACTCTTGTCTCGACATATAATTCAATTAGTCTTTCACACACTACTTAACACCTACCTTAACAATGTTGATTTGTGACACTATTAAATCATATATTTCTCCTTTTCAAACTGAAGGATATTCGTTGATAAGACCATTTATTTTTCATCGTGCCATTGCCTGATAGGAAGTGCGTCTGCAGAATCTGAGCCTAATAAGTATTGAAATGGCATATTTATCTAGTTTGTCAGTGTAATAAGAATTGTTGAGAACAAATTATCACGGTCGAGAGTAAATGAAATGATAAAGTACACCGAGGAGAGATTAATGTTCATAAAGTTCTTTCGTCCATGTAAAATCGAGTGCATTTATGGAACAGTCACTGTCAAGTGAAGAGTATCAAAAAACGAATATATTTGAAATACTTAAATGTCATAGATCAGTTGAGCTTCTTAATTGTCAATGAAATAATAATTGATAAACTTCTGACTAGTTTTGAATTCCTGTCGTACTTGCGTATGAATGGTTAAACAGCCCGAATTTCGCTTCGGTCTTCTGAACCAGTATCCACGAAACTCAGTTACGAAGTTAGTGACTTAAGCTGTAAAAGATTATTTGATAGTTCATATCAAAGTTGCCCAGAAGTCTTTTTGAAATTTTAACCGATCAGTCAAAAATTAGTTGTATAAAACGTCAACCTACAGATTCACATATAGGTGTTTAGTAGAAGGTCTTTCGTATCACATAGATAAATACCTGATATATTTCACCTCTTCATTAAATTGTCTACATAATCATTATTTCTCTCTTTTATCGAACTCTCAGTTCCTTCCGTTACGGATTGGCGATCACTAATTTATGTATTAAGCCCCCTCAAAAGCGTTAGATGGAGTTCTCTCTAATGTATCATTTCCAGGAATAATATTTTCGAGTACAAAAGGCTAACATATTCTGCGATTGCAGAAGATAAAAGGAGTTCGGCTAAGAAGAATTTCTTTCGGTTGATATTATTCACTAATGTGTTACAGGTCTCCGGTATCAAAAGATGCTTGAGTAATGGTACTTACATACTCCTGTTAGCCCAGTGGAGCATAGGCTGCCAACCAGCATTCTACATCCTACTCTGTCCTGGGCCTTCCTTCCTAGTTCTGTCCAATTGTTGTTCATCCTTCCTATATCTGTCTCTATCCCTCGGTGTAATGTGTATTGAGAGTAAATATCCCAGAAATTTTTCACCAGATAAATCTCCCTGTGGCGTTAGCATTCGGACTAAATTATGTTTAGCAAATAATTCACGTACTTGTATCCGCCTGCCATTTAATACTTTTAAATCTATAATGACGAGTGACCATCTGTAAGTCAATGAGTTATTATTTTCTTATCCCGTGTTATATATTATAATCAAATTGGAGATGTTTGGTGATAAAGGTATAATCATTTATTCGTCTAATATATTTGTCAACGTAATGCGACCAATTTCTAATTGATTTCTTATGATTCATGTTTGACGTTTTTCTTCTCTTCCTATCAAACAGATTGAAACCAGTCCACATACAGAACCAGAAAACTTTGAATTGAAGTATGAAAAAACTTTGCCTCATTCAGGTGGACAGTTACAAGTAACAGAACTACCACTTGACGACACTTATTTACATCATGTTCGGTTAAATATACGTTCCGGTTATAACCATTTTGTTGCTGTTTATGATGTGCTATTCGATGGAAAGTGATATGAAGAAAACACCTTACTCTCTGTATGATTGACACTTGTTTATTCAATGCTCAGTGTCATAACTCAAGAATAAAAACAGTGAAATTTACACAAAAGTTTATGTAAATATTTCCAGTCAACATAGTATGATTCTGAATATCCATATTGAGTTTAATAATAATAATAATCACAGATATCACATGGAAGATCTGTAATAGCATTATCAAGAAGTAATATGTGTCTATACTTCATTTGCATGTTCTCCGAAATTCTTAGACATAATTAACCCACGATAAGTAACTTCACAGTGAAGTGTAACATCATTTAGTTCTCTTGTGGATTTACAAGAGTGAAATTATCCACAATCTTAATAAAATATGTATACCAGTAGAAAGAAATCATCAGGTCAGTTAATAATTGTAGGAGTTTGTGGATCGTATCCTTCAAATATAGATCTCAGTTGAGGTACTGTCAGAAACTGGGGAGCACTGGACGGCTGTTCTGATCTAGTATAGACCCCTCATCCATACACATACACTTCATCGGACCCAAGACTTCTAGGTCTCATGGTGAACATAGGGTCGGCATCCAATGGCACAATTTGAGCTTCAATCAATTTCAGACATAACGTGGCGACTATCGACTGTTTCTGACGAGAACTATTTCTCTTTTGATGTGTCTAAAATATACCAGTCGTAACTTTGCACTAGAAATGAAGGAACATCTTGATATGTCACCGGTAGTCCAACTGTTGTAGTTTAAAAGAAAGTTATCCATACCCTTGTAAAACATGGGGATTGATTGGTTTGGCTAATGTTATAAAATGTTGTGCTTTGGTTCATTGTAGTATGAGGTAGATTAGGGCATCTGTTGCGTGAAGAATCATAAAATAATCCACCGGAAGTTCTCTCTGAATATCAGCTCTTAACATTTTCACTACCAAATTTACTAGTTCTGTTTTTAGACTAATACAGAATCATGAATGTGGCATCGTAAGGACAAATTAGTAGGTCAGTGCTCGCAAAGATTTCAATAGATCGTCAACCCTTAATGAAAACTATGCCCAAATCATCCTGATTACACTCACAGAAAAATTATGACCAGAATAGAAATAAATACACACACCAGTTACTTCCATCTTATCATTAACTATAGGTTTTAAATATTTATAATCCAGCTATTCAACTCATTGATTATTTACACAACTATTTAGAGGATCCTGTATTATTTTCATTGTTTCTCCATATTTTCTAATCCGTCGGTTATTATTGGATTGGTTCTATTTCATCACCATCATATATATACATATATGTTCAAGTAAACCTTTATACCACGGAATCATTTTAACTCTTCAAGTACATTTTGAAGAGAATTTACTTCATTAACTAATATCAATTGAAGTTGCTGAGAACCGAGCTTCTTTTTGTATTTCAAAACGCAATTTTGAAACCTTTGTTCATTTAACTATTCACTTGTTTCAGTTTATAGAGAAATCACACTTGATATGTGTGTTTGGCTCTAGAAAATCATTGTCAGAAATTTGAAACAATGGAACTTTTATTTATTTATTTGACCAGTAGCCTGGGAATTGTCAACTGGAACAACAAACAAATTCTCCTCTTCAGATAATTACAGTTTAATGAACAAAATAAATACATTTTCACCTAATAAAAATCTGGCAAATAGTTCAATGATTACTAAAGTTTATTCAAACGACAACTTTTACAGTCAACAACTAATTAATCTAACAGACAACATCCTGTATATGCATCGACCGACCATATGAAACATCAGAAGTTAAAATTGAATATCATTTGTGAGATGACTTTTAACTTCATTTACTATTCCTTCATATAATTTAAATGCTGTTGGTAAACGTATTTTTCGTACACAGGAATCAGCTCCACATAAACAACTGGCACCCATAAGACCCGTTGAAAGAATTTGAGCATTAATATAATTAATTGTTAGTTCTTCATTGGCTTCTATAGGTCGACAGGCAAACAGTCCTATCAAAAACAAAATGAAATGTTTTAAAAATGTTTATTTGACAAACTGGAAAATAATCAACAAACAGAACATAAACTTACCGAGTCGTGGATAACCGTCAACTATCCAACATTCAGTAACTAAATTTGGTGCACATGAATGGTTAATAAATCTGTTTAAATTGCCTTTAGTTCCAGCATCTAGAACTAAATTCAACTGTGGACTGAATCGTGTTAAATAGGTTATCGAAAGTGGATGGAAACTGTCATGCGATGAAGTTATGCTAGACAATGCATCAGAACCAAGTGCATCAATAATCCGACGGTTAGCTTCTGCAATATCTATCACCTCACCTAGATATTCCATGACTAAATCACCCTGCAAAAGAAACAGATAGAACAGTCAGTATTATTAAATGACGGTAAACTGAAAGGTACAAGAATTAATCGAAAACTTTTCTAAAGAAATTATTGACTGATTACATCACTAAGTAACTGTATCACATTAATTAAGAGAAACTCATTCACAGGGTTACAGATACCACCCTGCTACAGTCGGTTAGTAATTCAGTATATTCACTCTAAAAATTCAAATTTCTGTTTTTATCACACATATAGATTTGTATATCAGAGATCTCTTGCTGTTGTCGCAGTCAGAAGGTCTATTTAAAGGGGATTGAAAACAATGACTGCCAGTTTAAATGAAGCTTTTCCCGAATGAAAAAGAAAGATCTTAACGAACAGGACGGCAAAAATATCATACAAACATCAGATTACTTGACATAAGACTCCAACATACCGTCAACAACAACCCAAAATATCATAACAGTGTATTCCTAGGATAGAAGCAACCAGGTGTGTAGTGGTCGCATAATGGTAACCTTGGTATTTTAATAGCTGTGTTACCTAATTATCACAGAAATTCGGGACTCATTTTTCCGATACGTAGTGGAGGTTCTAAACCAATATGGCGATAACAATGCAGTATTATAACTCGTAAAATCAGAATTAAAAAGTACTCAACTTATCATACCAATTTAATCAACAAAACTCTGTCTGGTAAGGAAATTTATCAGCCTTTAGATCCATACTCACTTGTTGAAATGAAGCCAAAGTTTTCAAACCATATCCTCGATTAATAGTTCGCACGACATTAAATAAACACTTATCATCTTTCTTCATAGTAGTAGTGTTTGCAAGTAAACTGAATCGTCGATTACCACAATCTGTTTCATGAAATGAACAAATCTTTGGTTTACATTCAATTCTAGACAAGAAATGATGGCATGTGTTATTAATTGAACATAAATTAGAGCTGATGACAGTTTCACTGTTTGCAACAACGGACGATTTACAAGAGCATATAGTAAGAGATTCATAGGCCTTTTTCATGTTTTCAATCTGAGAATACAGAAAAAATCGACAACACAACAAGGTTGAATCAAAAAAAACAAAATCGTACATCAAACATAACTTGTAACACATGTAAACTTTAAATCTTATACATCATGAGCAAGTTAAGACGTCAATCACACTTCTGACAGTTTATAGTTGGAGTTGAAGGTAGTTCATAGGAAACCTAAATCCAAAAGCCATAATCAATAAAAGTCACTATAATGCAGACTAGAGAAAACCAGTCTGGTTTTCGACCTGGACGTGGTTGTATAGACCACATCTTCACACTACGACAGGTCCTGGAACACAGACACACATTTAAACGTCCGACAATAGTCGTGTTCCTGGACCTAAAAGCGGCATTTGACTCAGTGGATCGTAAGGTTCTGTGGTAGTGTCTGTCATTGAAAGGTGTACCAGAGAAGTACATTAACCTCATACAAGCACTCTACTCGAACACCACTGGTCGGGTGAGAGCATATGGCGAACTGTCATCTGAATTCTCTACATCAAGCGGTGTCCGTCAGGGCTGTCCACTCTCTCTATTCTTGTTCAACTTTGTCGTAGACATCCTCTTAGAGTTAACATTAAGCTCGTCAGATTTTTCAGGGGTTGACCTTCTACCAGGAAAGTCGCTTACTGATCTAGAATATGCCGATGACGTAGTTCTATTCGGTTAAGACGCTGACAAAATGCAGAGTCTTCTGACTACCATAATCAACAATCCGAGCATGTTCGGGATGCGGTTTTCCCCTTCGAAATGCAAAATGTTGCTTCAAGACTGGGTTGCATCGGCACCTGAACTAGTGATAGGGAGTGAAGTAGTCGAGCGTGTAGACCGCTTCACTTATCTTGGGAGTCTCATCAGTGCTGATGGCCTGGTGACTGACGAAATCTCAGCTCGAATACAGAAGGCTCGGTTGGCTTTTGCCAACCTGCGTCACTTATGGCGTAGGCGTGATATCCGTTTGTTGACTAAAGGACGAGTGTACTGTGCAGCAGTTTGCTCCGTTCTCCTATATGGCTGCGAAACATGGCCGTTAAGAGTAGATGTTCGTAGGTTACTAGTCTTCGATCATCGATGTCTCCGAAGCATTGCTCGTATATCGTGGGACAGCCGAGTAAGCAATACTGTCGTTAGGAAACGAGTACTAGGTAAGGATGGCAGATCAATAGATGAAGTAATGAAACTTCATCAGTTGAGGTGGTTGGGACATGTGTTACATATGCCGAACCACCGACTGCCCCGACGAGCTATGTTTTGTGGTGTAGGAGTAGGTTGGAAGAAAGTTAGGGGCGGGCAGACCAAAAGATGGCACAAATCCATGAAGTCACTGACAAGTGGACTGAGTCATGTTGGTAGATGTAGACTACCTGGTTGGGGTCCGCGAGACGAAAGTCATCAATGGTTAGAGACCTTGAACGACATGGCTCAAAATCGTTTGCAATGGCGCAGGTGCATCTACTCTTTGAGCTCTCTCAAATCCTAATCTTCTGGATTCGTCAGCTCTTCTACCTTTGTCTTTCTAACCTTATCTCACTGAATTATATTTCTTGAATAATATCTTTGAACCCTAGTCTTCTTTATTAACATTAATACCTCTACTATCTTTATCACTATGGGATTTGATTTGACATTTGCGTCTCTGTGCTGTGGTATGGCAACATGAACTTATGTACATACGTACGAAGTTCTACGTTGCAACTGACTGACTGACTGCCAAATCCTCTCAATAACCACAATCAATGATGGGTAGTATGACGGCAAACGATATGATAAAAGCGACCACAATAGACAACACTGGACAGTTTCACAGAATTACTAAGGATGAAGACAGATTCATCAATCACTATCATATTATGTATCTGAAAAAATTAGTGAACAACCCAAAAACGTCATAATGCACTCCGGCTACTCTCAAAATCAAAGTCATTCCCTACAAGCCTATGAGAAAAAGACATTGAGTTCATGACTTACTTGAAACTAGGAAGACCAGTATTTCAAATCCAAAAGTTTCTGCAGATGTTTATTCAACTTCTGTTATATTCACTGCGTGATTAGCCAGTTTGAGATCTGAGCGATGGTCTGCTAGACAGATCATGATGATTGATCTTGCTTGTTAATAAGAGAGAATATTCTCGGGATCATAAGAATTAGTTTTAAAAACCACCTAATGTCTTGACTTCTATAATTAACCGGTCGATAGCTAGAGAACACGGGGAACCTGAAGAAACCAAGTAGGTTCCAAAGCTACGTGCACGATATCGACAACATCAGTCAGTTAATTAAAAGAATTTTGGTACGGACATACATCAGTTCAAGTTGCATTACCATATCTGCACAGTGAGATCGAATTGTCAGTTCAAACACTGTAATAGTAGAGGTTGTAGCAGTAATCGAAAAGATCATAGATTAGAGAAGTATAAATTTAAAAGAGACAAAGAATGGATGCACCTTGTGCCACTGTGAGTGATTCTGAGACATGCCATTCAGTCTCTAAACATCAGTTACTGTCGTTCCGCGGACCCCAACCAGTTAGTCTACATCTACTAACATGGCTCAGTTCAGTTATCAGACTTCATAGATTTGTACCATGTTTGGTATGGCCGCTCCTAGCTTTCTCCCTTACATCAGGCAACAAGGTAGAATCAATAAAACACAACTGAACATCAAATATGACTTGTAACACATGTAAACGAGCAATCCTTCGGTCGAATACTAGGAACCTACGAATATCCTCACTTCTTAGTGGCGATGTTTCACGCCTATAGAGTAGGATGGGGGAGAACTGCTGCGCAGTTAACTCGTCCTTTGGTTGACTGACGGATATCGCGCCTACGCATGTTGGCTAAAGCCAGTCCAGCCTCCTGTATATGTGTCAAGATTTCATCAGACACCAGGCCATCAGCATTGATGAGACTCTTGAGATAACTTAAGTAGTCGGCAAACTTGACTACATTACTACCTATCATTAGTTGTGGAGCCGACGCAAGCCAATTCAGATGAAACATTTTGCGTTTTAAGGGGTATAATTGCAACTCGAACATGTACGGTTGCTTAGGGTGGTCAGAAGACTAGAATCGGTCAGCATCTTCACTAAACTATATCATCTACATACACAAAGTCAATAAGTAAATCTGGTAAAACATCAACTCTAAAAGCATGTCTATGATTAAGTTAAATAAGAACGGAGGAAGTGGACAACACCATTTGAAGTAATCGATTTTGATGACTATTCGCCATAAGCTTTCACTCAATTAGTAGTGTTAGAGTAGCGATCCTGAACAAATTTAATGTACCTTCAATGACAAACACTGCCATAGAACCTCACAATCACCCGAGTCCAACACCGACAACTATTGTGGGGTGTCGGAATATGTATGCGTTCTAGGACCTGACGAAGTGTGAATAACTGGCCTATATATACACGTCCGGATCTGAATCCAGCCTGAATTTCTCGAATCTACTCTTCACGAGCCCTGTAAGGCGTCGAAGTATTATTGAGGCTAACATTTTAGACACTGTATTAGTTAAACTGATTCTTCTGTGACTGTCACAAGAGAACTTTTGTCCTTTCTTATAGACTAGGACAATCAGTGGTTGAGACCAGTCAGATGGGATTACGTCCAGTCCCCAGATTCTAGCTAAGATCTCAGTCAATCTAACTGCTAAAACTGGACCACCATCATTAAAAATACAATGAGTCATCCATCAGGATCTGCCACTTTTTAAACGTACTCTTGGCTTTATATCATCGCTACACATAATTTAAAGGGGTTTCCTTGCTGCCTATGTTCCGTCCAGTAAGCAGCGGACAAATACGCGCTCGTACTAGAGCACCATCTGAGTTTGAATATATGTGCTCCAGAATGAGTGATAGTCTTTTAAAATGCCTGTTCATCGATAGCTGGAAGCTATGTGGTTTATTTAGGTCCAGTGCACAGTCCATTTTGAGGGTCGATGGTATGTATATTCATATGTGTCTAGTGTAGGGTTAGGCTGAACGAAAGACAGGGACAACCAAATGAAGACGACATCATTTTATGAACTCACTAACTGCCAAGCTGAGTTTTCTAGCTAGGTGTACAGTACCTGGTTGGAGTCAGAGTGATTATCGTATCTTTGGGTGAGATTGTTAAGAACCATCCACAATAGTGTAGATGTATTTACTCAACTTTCTTTTGTCCCTGAATCCCGAAATCTCCTCTACACTTCGTCGTACTACTAATATAGTAACCACTACCACAAAGGAATTTATGGTGATAATTTTAGTTCACGGTGCTAATGTTATGTGGCGACTTGAATCGGCATTCGTAGATTGAATATAAAGTAAGCAACCTTATTTATTCAGAAAAATTATACAGAGGTAGGTAGAGAGAAAATTCACTTACCAAACCTTCATGTGTATAAATATTGGCTTTAATTAAAGTGAAACTTTTCAGTACACTAGATAATTGATCATCCTCCGTATTAGGATCAATAATTGCATTTCCACTTAGTGCATTTGAAGATTTGTTGTTAGGAAGTTGTTCGGCATGCATTGAAATCAGTGGTAAGCCTTGTTTTAATACATGGTTGCCGTTTAACGTATCTGCTTGAGTTTCCAAATGTTGTTTATTCGAACCCGATTTCTAACATTGAATAGGAACACAAAAAACAATAAAGTGAACGATATTTGTGAAAAAAACACAAATGATACGAGAGCACTAACTAACGGCTGTTTATTTTACAGAGTTCACTAGTCTCCAACCATAAAAATGGCAGGTGTATTAAAGCGAGCCTTATTTTTTATACAAACATTTTTTAATCTAAACAAAGTCAAATAAATAAACATTTCGCAAAGTAAACCTAACGAAGTAGGCCGGAAAATTAGTTCTCCGACATTGTATTAACAAATAAATATTTAGTGATTATGGGTGAATAAGTCAACAATGTACACACTAAGAACCGATATGGTAGATATGAAGCTATACAGTTTTATTTTTCGGTCTGAATTTGAATTACTAAATGAAGCAATGACTAGTGATTGGAGAGGAGTTACAGTACAATAAGTTGAATATTTGGTTTAATAAGAAGTGACCAACAAACTAAGAATAATGTCAGTAGTAGCAACAATCTAAACAGTTTATTCACTCAAAACAGATAAGGCTCTGTTAAGTCAGAAAGTATTGACATGAAGGTTTCCATGTTTTTTATCACACTAGGTCAATGAAGATGCACCAGGCTCTACATGATGTGACTGAGAACCGGTCACAATAATGCAGATATATTCGCTTTGTCTTTGTACACATCTTGAGTTCCACTCTCCCTACATACATACTTCCCCCGTGTCTTGTCAAATCATCTCACCGCATAGTCTTTCTTTTTACCATTACAAACACATTTTTTTGGTCTGTTGTTATCTTCAGGGCGGAGCGATAATCAAGTATTGCAACTTGGACCAACGCACATCCGTGACAGGCTCGATGTTGATTATATTTGTCTGTCTCACAGAATGATAGTTGACGGCTTCTATTTTGAACCTTTTCCGATGGAGCCTTAATTCATTGGGTTGTACGATTTTTAGGATCCCAGTAGGAGAGTCATGACAGAGTGACAGATGTTAGTTGTGTATAGTTGTTTTTCATGCCACGATGCCAGATCATAAACTAACCACTTACCTTTTTACCACCCAGTTCCACTTTGGACTTTACTGTTGGTAGATTGGGCTTATCTGTTATGGCACCACTAGTACTGAAACAATTACCCAGAAACACGACCTCTTCTGTTACCTTTAACGGCTGACCACAGAGAGTTAGTAGAGACGCTGAATCCTGAGCTGTATTTTCAAGGTGTAAAGTAAATGCTATATTGATGGATAATAATTACCAACTGACACGGTAATATACCAAAAACTCGCAAAAATTTCAAGTTACATTATTAAGTGAAAATATGTAGAGATGAAAAGTAGGTGGTAGTGTTTAAGCCCAATGTATGTAGGTCTTCAAGGAAAGGAGTTACAGATTAGGCTGGATATCTAACATTTTAACAGATAAATGTTTTGATTACAATCATTGAGTCCGAGAAGAAATGAAGTAATGGAACGAAAATTTGGAAATGTTTGAATGAGCACCTGTGACTATGCATTTAAACAGAAGAGTATAAGAGAAAAGCAAAAGAAACTTAGGGTTACAGTCACCAGTAAACTTACTTTACTCGACTTAGAAGTACGATCTTTGCATTTGGTTGCAGATTCATTGGCTTTGGTGACTGTTGCTTCTTTGCACTTACGGCTTATTTCTAACCGCCACGAAGTCATTCACTGGACTTCAGCTCGTCAATATTAAGAGCTGTCGCGATTTATGCTTTGAGTAACTGAAGATCGCGTCACTGATACCCGAGGCCAAGCTTTTGTAAATATAGCATCGAGTTCAGAAGTTGAACTAGCTTTCTTAGACTAGATTTTGATTAGCAATCGCTTGTGCGCTGTCCGACTTAAAGGAACAGCAAAAGGTCGGGAAGATATGGACACTCGCCGTTACCTGAGTGTTGTCTCTGCATATGTTCCCGTTGCTTATAGCTCAGATGAATTGTACAGAATGCTTCCCAATCTTTTTCAAAATCTTAAGCGCTCTGACATATGGTTTTTGTCACTCAGAAAAAATAAAACTAAACGATGTTACTTAATCGTCTACATAAAATACAACAGAACGTTTCAGATAAGTAATCGAACTGTTGCTTCGTAGTTTCAATGATTGCCTCCATAATGTCTTCGTGTATGTGTACAAGCCGTTTTATGAGTATAAGAACTCAAAAGAATAACCGTCAGTGTTTGTCAAAATTTCAAAATACGATTATCAGTGGCATTCGAAACTGATTTTAAATTCTCAGCAATAATGGTGACTACCTACAAAAACTGTAATGATACCTGCTACTATTCATAGTCTAAGGATTTACACGTCTTAAGAACACTTCTTACTGAGCTATAAGGAAGACAGGAAGATTGGAAAGCATCATGATACGATGACTATTCTTACCAACTAGTAAATAACTTCATAGGTAGGAATAACAATGACCGTATACCAGACAGTGATACTTAGATAACTAAACTACATCCTACAATTTACATGGATGAGTTGTCTGCTCATTTGTCATGCACTTTAAATAGGTTGCAGGGTATCAAAAATTTTATCAACATCAAACCTTTACCATCCCAACTACACCTAATCGTATGACCAAAATTTCCACTTTCGCTTGATAGCTCAGTGTGGGAAGGTAACTAATTCACTGGATTTTGTGAAAAGCTATACATAAGCTCATCAAACACAACTGAATACAACGGTATTTTCAGGGACTACAGGAATCTGGTATTCAAAACAATACGTTTTCGTGAATATGAAGAAACTGGTTACTTAATGAAGATGCATCCCTACACATCAATGAGCAGACAACCAAATAAATTCATGTAGTTACTGCACTGCGATTACACTCGACTTAATGGACTCATCACGAGTAAGCGAAACTTCAAAGGTGTATAGGTGAAAGTGTATCATAGTGGCAAGACCAATGGATTGTTAAACAATTGTGGACTTGTTGATGAATTGAGTTAAAACTGATGAGTCATAAATACCTCAAGTTATCTACAGGTCAAACCTGAAAACAAGGTATTTCGTTGGAAATGTCGTGTAATAGTAAGTGGGATTTTGAACTCACCTGCAAAGGATCATCAAAAATACCTAGTTGATCACGCAGGTACCTGCGCTTTTCCGCTATATCAAGTGCAGGCCATTGGGTTCTAAGCTCATCCTCAAGCATTTTCTTATCCAGATCAGGATTTTTCTGCAAACGTACTTCCATTTCGTCCTTCAAGAAGGTTGCTAACGATTCCGCCTCCTCTTCTATCGTTAAAGGGACATTACTCATCAATTCTAAGGGCTCTCCTAGAAAAGTGTGACATTTTTAACCTGAAATACCTTCTTTATCGCAAATGGAAGGCATCACAGATTTACCAAGTATCAGCAGAGTGTAACTTTTGGCTTTGGTTAGTATGCGTCGAACCAGGAAGTACCAGGTGAGCGAGGTAATCTGGGAGAAATAACAAGAGGAAGGGTGAGTCAAAGACTCAGTAATCACATAGAATGTACTTCAATTCAATAGATAAAGCAATTGACAGAAATCAGGAATCACACAAACATGAGATCAGGACCTACTGGAATGGGCTAGTGCACGATTTCAAATGCGTTACAAGAGAATTGTATGCTAAGTCGCGCTGTCAGTAAACTTCAAATCCAATATCCAATATATCCAATATCTCTTACGCGAGCTGGTATTCACCAGTTGATTTCTTTGAGCTTTATTCTTGTTCTTTCGGTGCGGTTGCAGGTGTTTGTTAGTGTCCAGTGAATGTGTGGAGATGTGTCTTGCCACTCGACTGTCTAATTCTAGTCAGTTGGCAGTTGTCTGTGAGTTTGTATGTCCTGTGATTTCAATGAATACGTTTGTTTCAGGGCATTAGGGTTTATGGATACCAGCAGCTATCACATTACCAGACCGGAGATCAGTTAGTTGCAATATGGAAAATAATATGGAGAAAATCATAATGTTAACAAGGTTTCAGGACTAATTAAACAATGGATAAACAATGGTAGTGAAGACTGTGCGAGAGGACTGAAGTGTAATCAAGGGAAAGGAAACAGAGATAATAAACGAGATCGATTCAGTTGGTGATATGAGTACGTGTTTATCAAGTCCCTTCTCAAAGCTGTCCACTGACGGGGATGTGGCCACCTCGGTTGGGAAAGCTTTCCAAGTCACAACGACTTATAATGAGAAAAAGTGTGCATGAACCTGAGTATTCGTTCTTTGATGTGCAATTTTTCGAGGATTGCATCGAGCGGAGTGGTGATGATGCATCGGTGAGATGCTCACGTTGGGATGGTTTGGCGTGCTTATTGTACGCCATAATCAGATCAACTCTGATTCTCCTGTAACTCAGGAGGAAATATTCCCAAATGCTAGAGTCTGTCTTCGTAACGTTTGTCCTTTAAATCCACCACCCTTTTTTTTTGCTCGTCTCTGCACTCAATCCACAGAAGAGGAAACAGAGATATTAGGCGAGATAGGACAAGTTAGTTATCTGAAGAAATGGCAATGAAAATAACTAGCAAGTTTCGAAGCTTTCCACCGAGAGGACAATGCTCACTAAGGCTGGGTTAGATTGATGAGAAAAGTGTGCATGAACCTTGGTTTCTGCTTTTTGAGGTGCAATGTTTCGAAGATTACCCCAAGGTAGATGATGGTGATGCTTCGGTAAGATGCTCATGTTGGGTTGATACGGCATAGTAAATATGTTGCACACCACCATCAAATCACCTATGATTCTCCAGTAACTCAGAGAGAATAATTCTAAGTTCTGGGGTCCGTATTCGTAAGATTTGTTCTCCATTTTGTTTCTGGTCTTTGCAGTCGATCCGGGAGATTTATATCTCTTTTAATGAGAGGTGTGAGACATCATTCTGAATCTGCGGGTTTTGGCGTGCTAATGCTTAGGGCAGTTTCACGAAGAATTCTGAAGTGATTGCGTCAGGTTGTCTTCTCATAAGGTGATGAGTCGCATTAGCGCTGGCTGCATCCACTTTGTATTTTGAACTGGTGTTTAAACTTTCTGTGGTCATCGAACCAATGTTGCGCTCTAAGAAGACGTTTTAAATCAAACTTCTCTGGATGAGTAAGGTTGTTTGTATCACCTATGGCGGAATGTTCATGACGTGACATTTCGACCGACTAAATTTCAGTCCGTCGCCTACTGCCCATCCCTCAATTGCAGCACGTCCCTTCAGATGCTGGGTTGAACAATCCCTGCTCCTCATGAACCTCCGAATCATTGCATCGTCTGCGTAGATTAGTGCCGCCGAGGTATATTTACGTAACAATGCATTCATAAAGATAAATAAGAGGATTGGGAATCAAAATGGTCTCTTGTGAAACTACAAATGTTGAGACTCGCCAGCAAGATAGAACTGGATCAGTAAGCTCATAATTGAAACACTCACGAAGTAAAGGAATAATATATGCGCGGGTATCTTTTGGCCCCAGCAGGCTATTTAGCTACTCCATGCTATGAGAATACAGGATGGACACCACCTGCCTTTCGTAAATCCACATTAGGCTTTTTGGAGGATGTTATTTTCGTTCATATGTTCCCTCGTTCCTTCACTCATTAGTTCTTCCACTATATTCTATAGCATTGGTAGTAATGCTACTGGTCTGTAGATGGCTGGTCTTTTCTACTTCCTCCATTGAAGACTGGAGAGAGCAGCTTGTTTTTATTCTTATGGAAGTAGAGACTTCAGGGAATCCCTGGCAGGTCACAAACGGGTGAACTGAGAACTCTCACAAAATGTTTCAGGATTCTAGGACGTACGTTGTCACATCCTGATGACCTAAACAGACACTGGGTTTTCAGTATTTTTAGTGGCTAGTGAGGCGTTATTCTAGTTTTCCACAGGCTATTTACAGGCAGTGAAGTTTAGCAGTTCACTGAGGATGTGAGTACGTGGTTTAACTGGTCGGTGGTTTGATTCAAAGGTTTCTTCCATTTTTAAGTTTGTAGGAACCTGATTGTTTTAATCCTCGATCGGTTAAACATCCTGGTTCGTACGTTGCCTTCAATGAAGACGCTTAAGAGTTATTTTCAGTTTGCCTGTATTTTCGCTGCAATCATCGTCCGGAAGTTTCTCCTACCGCTTCAAACTTCAGTGGTGCATTTTTTCGAAAACATTGTAGGAATCCTTCAGAGAGAATTTCCACTTTTGTGAAGCTTTCCTCTTTTATTGAAGAAAGCCTTCAATATCTCACTTGAACCACATTATTCTCGTTTCATGTGTACGATCTGCCTGAGGTACATCATCTAGGAAAGCATTCTGAAGGATAACTCTTACTGCCTTTAAGTAATCATCTACCGTTCGCATCAGCCACACTTGTTGCATGGAGCGGGTGGAAGATACTTTCTCGTAGTTGTGCAACTTACCCTAATGTAGCAAAGGTGGAACGAGTTTTCGTTTCTCCTGAGTATTTCGTTTGTGAACATGTTACCATGACTGCACCATGATCAGTACTTCCTATTGGTGTGTGGATATGATCATCTTGGAGTACAAGCTGATGGTTTGTTGACAGATAATCTAAGCCTGAGAGTTTTCCATATCTGCTCCATGTAGTGGCGTCAAATTATACTCTGTCACCGCGAAACATCTAATGGCAGTGAAAAGTCGCTTTTGTAATCAACCGGTTGCAGTTGTACACTGTTTGCTCAGATATAGAGATGGAGTGCTGAAGTGTCCAGCTAAGAGATTTCGGTCGAACCCCAACAGTAGCATTGACAATATTGCCTCAATCAACTTGACTTTCTGGGCTTCAGTACTTCACGATGTTTGGAAAAACGCACGACACAAGTATTTAGTGACATTCGTGTTGAAGCAACACCAACATAATTATGAGTCATAGATTAGTGGTGCACCGTGCACGTTAGGCATTTGGAATGTCAGTGTATGTATATCACCACTCCGTCTTCTATCTTGCGTACTCTATCATATTGGAAGTGTGAGATGCCTTACAAGATCACTTCGACGTCTGCAATGTTGTAGAATAGCCGTATTTCAGATAAGATTACAGACTACAGACTCAACTGAGAGTGGATGTTGTAAATATATTTTCTACTCTAACAGTTAATTCCGGCTCCAATAGGTGCAGTTTGATACGCGTACGCCCAGATCCGAAACAAAAACACAATAATTCTGGGAGAAAACGGTTCAAACAATATTACACCTTCTATTTCCAAATTACCGCGGTGGGTATCCGTTTCTGGAAGAATAAGTGCTTCCAGTCCGTACTGTTAAGGTATCGAATCCAAATATTGCTGCAGCCATATTAAATATCGGATTTAAACAACATATGTACAGTTCAGAAGCAAACATAAAAACTTCAATATAAGTACGAGATATAGAAGTAATAACAATATACAGTAATAAAATCTCAAATTGGAATCAAATAAAGTACCAAAATGTCAACAGAAAGAGTCAGTCATATCATATTACAAATATATATACATGGAGGGATTTTCCAAAAAACAAAACATACAAAATTGCTTCTACAGATTTTTCCGTTGTTTCTGAACAGACGGCACTGCTTGGCCGTAGAATTGACACTCGCGAGTACTGCGCTGTATCTTCCTTACTCACTTATCAAAGACGGCTCTCCTGCGACACTGGGACACTAAATAAACTTATCGAATTTCGGCTAAATTACCTGTCCCTGGTTAGAAGCTTTGTTAGAGCTATGATGTTGCCGTTTCCTTTTCTAACGCTCCTATACTGCTTCGTACTCGGTACAAATGGCGATCTCACTGGTCTATGAGCATGGGTTTCGGCTGTCTTTGTCGCGGTCTGTCGATCATTTGTCGGATGAAATCAACTTAATAACGGGAGCAATAGATCTATTTTTGATGTCTCCTTTTGATTCACTGTTGTTTGAATGGTTCTACACTGTGGACAATCACACCAAAACTACAAACAAGGGCGACTTAGCGTGAACACGTAGTTCTGTCCAGGTACTGCAGCATCACAGTGACGGTGAACTCAGCTGCTGAACAAGTTACATTCAAATACAGCATCAATAGTTTTAATTGTCAATGAGCAAGCGATAAATTTCTTATTAGTATGTTATTTCTAAATAGTAAGCTTGTAGTTGAATTCTTCATCGTGACAGTTCAATTCGATTCCAATAGACGTAGGTTGGACGCACTTCCCGATTTTGAAATTAAAACACAATAATTCTAGGGGAAAATGGTCTATTTACAAATA